CCTATCCTATCCTATCCTATCCTATCCTATCCTATCCTATCCTATCCTATCCTATCCTATCCTATCCTATCCTATCCTATCCTATCCTATCCAATCCATAGTCTGATTGAACCTGCTGTCATATTTTCTTTGGTCAAAAAGCAGGGGATTATTTACACTTAGGAGGCAGGGCACCACTACTTATCTTCCTTTGTAAAACAGGTAATGAGGTAAAAACATATAATGGGGTTGTAAGAAACTTGCAGTGCAGGATATAAAAGTATCCTAAAGGTTTAAGCGTATACTTAAGGACTTTTTTAAGCTTAATAACTTTTATATTAGGTAGTTCTTTCAGCTAAAACGCTTTGCTCTATTCTATGTGCATTTCACACCAGAAGATACCTGCTGACTCACTGCCGCAAACCCTTATTTCCCATGTAAATAATAACAAGCTTCTACATCAATATCTGTTAAATGCACAGTTTAAAAGTTGATAAAGTGACGTTTTCTAATCTGTTATGATGTTTTTGAGATTGCAATAGTTTTAAGATGATAAAGGCTGTTTTGGTCTTTATTCCTTTATGGCAAAAGGTTTGCTTCAACCTCAATACAAACCAACTAAGATACTAAGTACCTAACTTCACTTTAAAAAGTTTTAGCTTTAATGTTCTTTTAAAAAAGTAAAACACTGTGCTTTTTTGATAGAATAAATGCTGGGTTAATGAGTTACAATTGGTATTTGCACAATTTTGATCCTAAAGAGGTTTTAAACGTTTCTGCGGTGGATTCTGAAACAGATGGTGCTCAGTCAGTAATGGAAGCTGGGTGGGATGAGGATTACCAGGGTGGGATTTGCAAGTACCTGGTTAAGAGGAATTTCAGCAGCGTTAGCCCCCGGAGAGGGGGAGCGGCAGGCAGGGGGAGAGGAGACCTCGCTGTTGGTGCCCTCCTCCCCTGACTCCTCTGTCACGGGGGAGAGGAGCGTGTGGCAGCGCCCGGCTGTCATCTGACCACAGATACACAACCGCACACCAAGAGACAAACACATGAAACAAGCATGCAAAGGGAGGGCAAGGGAGGAGGGAAACCAAAAGAAAAGAACCACATCAAACAGGGGATGGGGGGTAAAAATGAAAAGGGAGATAAAGAGAAAGCATAAAAATTAACAGGGTAGAGCACGTTACGCTGGCTGCAAGGAGTAATTATCTTGCTCATTGATTTAGGAAGCAAATAATCAAATATCCCACTGATCTGATCAGGTTACTGTTACTGGAATCAAACACTGTAGCATATGTGGACACACCAGATCTCAGTGAAATGACTAAAGATACAGACCAGTAAAGGAATGGCCTCTATCCGGAAGCTGACGCATGCTGTAGGTATACACACAGTGACTGTTCTCACCACACACCCACATACTGTAGACTAACGGCCTCACAGCCACAGAAGCCGCTTTTTCTTTTAACAAACTACCATATGTCTGATTCAGAAGTGTGATCATTAATCACTAGAAGTTTGATCATTACACCTAAAGCGTAGCTTGCAATGGCTAACAGGGAGGAGGAGAAGAAAGCAGCAGCAGTTGTCCTAGAAGCAGCAAAGTTTGCAGCATGCCTGCATGCTTTAGTTGAGGGCAGAGCTGAAACGTGAGCCAAGCGTATTAAAGTCAGCCTACTGACTCATGAAATCAGCAAATTCAAAGGAGTTTTTTGTTTTGTTTTGTTTTGCCCGGGCTTTATGATGCAACGAAAAGCAACAGACTGGATCGTGGCACTAGCATTTCAACCGTTTCAAGATAAGATGTACTCACTTCAACACAGTTATGTTCATTAACAAAAAATCTACAGCACAAGTGCACTTCCAGTTACCAACAGTAACAGGCGTTAAAGGCATTCATGCACTGCGTCTTTTTTTTTTTTTTTCTCACATACGCTCACAGATTCAGTCACATCCTGTTTCCTGGCTGCCGGAGACTAAATGCACAAACAACTCTGTTAAGGCAAAGGAGCAAACAAATCTGAACGTCTGAGAAAATATGCAGAAAAGAAACAGGAGGGATAAAAAAAATATTCAAATATTTAAATTAATGAAAGCTAATGTGGATTAAAAGCAAGAGAAAAAGCAAAGTATCAGTGAAACAGGAAAGGGACCGAGCTGGAAAAAGTAACTTGAATTAAAAGTTTGTGGAAGAGTAAATGTTTCATAAAGAAAAACATTTTCTATTCTGGATAATTTGTTTCTTCTTTGTTGATCATTTGTAGGAGCCCTAGTAGCTGAATCATGAGGGTTTACCTCCACCTCAACCATATACCTTGAAACCTAACCCCAACATAAACATACATGAGCTAATACTATGAAAGTAGGACAATATGTGAAAATATTAAATACTTTGACACCATATTTATTCCTATTTTAAGCCACAGAAAAGCTAGAAAATCTAGCTTTATGATAAAAATAGAGAAATCAAATTTGTCTTAAATAATAAATAGTTAAAATAAAAGCATTCCTAACAATAGAGGAAATGATTAACTTATACATGATATTTCTTTGTTTCCAAGTGGCACAGGAGGAGCAGAGACTAAACAATTATCAGAGGTATCAAAACTTTACTAAAGTATTTATTTTTATGGATATATACTGGAACAAAGAAATGCATATTTTTACACAGATGTACACAGCTCTTTTCTCTTCCCTCAAAGTATGCCCCTGAAAAATCCTCTGACCTTTGCCCTCTGCCTACCCCTTTACCTCAGGCTGACAGCTAAGTATGAAGATCTCCTCAATTGTTTTCATTTTTATTTTCATTGACAAGAAGTTTGATGAGTTCTGCAGCAGCCGACATGCCACCTTGTCAACCAGTAGATTACTTGAAGACACTAAAAGAACTAATGCATCCTAACAAAGCCAACTAACAGCAAAGTACCTTTACAAACTGCAGTTTAGCTGGTCATGATGCTGTAAAGGTTAGTTTAGTTTTATAGCATTTTAAAGTAGTTAAAATGTAGTTGTGCATGTGTTGTGAAGATGTCTGATCTGCAGCTGTCTCACTCACCATAACGACAGAGGGGTGGGCTGGAAGCTGTTTGCCAGCAGCTGAGCCGGTGTTTCCCACGACGCCGGCCAGCTCCTCATCGCTCAGCTCCTCCATGCCATCAGACAGGCCCTCCACATCAGTGACGGTCAGGAGCATGGTGGCATGCTTGGCCTTCACTGTCAGCATTTTGCACTTTGAGTGGAGTGAGGCGATCTGCTCCTGGTAGCCACGGATCTTTTGAGTCAGCTCCTGTCAAAACATCCCCCCGAAGAGAATAGAGCATCACCAACCCCCCTCTCCAAGGATCAGGAGAGTGAGGTTCAGCCCACAGCAGAGGATCTAGAGGTCAGGGTTAAAGCAGGATTCTGTTGAAAGGAAGAGTCAGTTTGGCCAGACACATTCTCTCCTGTCCTCTCACTCTTTCAGCTTTCCAGTCTGGATAAGTGGAGAATAGTGCTGCCTCTCTCTCAGTTTTTCCCCCCTCTCTGCATCTCTGAGCCAATCAGAGCAGCACAAAGGCGTCTGACTCGGATCGGTTGGTGAAGCTGAGCAGGCAGGATGTTTGGTTGAGGCAGAGACCCTCGCAGAAATACTTCAAAATCCCTCAGACACTCCCTCTTGTACACATATACACAAATGGCAGGGCAGTGAGAACAGGAAGTGATCTCACTCACTGAGCTCCCCGCCCCCTCCTCCCTCTTCCCTTGCCTGCTGCTTCCCATCTCCACCTATCGGCGGAGAGGATTCCTGTTAACAAAAGGGAGCTGCAAGGAGAGAGGGGGCTCGGCCTCAAGTTACAGCTCCTCCTCCCACTGCATCACAGATGGTCAATGCACAGATAATCGGGTCATGTGACCCAAACGCCAGCAGGGTTGAAGCTCAGCTTAAAGATCAAACACAGACATAATTATACTGTAGAACCCAGCTGGAATGCTGTAACAGGAACACTTTAGATATCCTTTTATCAACCATGGAGAGAAGATATAAATCTATCAGATGCAATAAGGGAATGTTAAAATGTGTTTTATTGATTTGATCTGTTTCTCTGCATAATTCTGACTCTACCTTTGCAGTGTTTGAGACACATATTAAAAAAAACTTAAAGAGCTTTATGCTTGAGAAGCTCAGATTCCATCTACCTGGGTGTATGTGGGCACAAGCACCATCAGATAAGAAAGAAAGAAAGGAATGTCATCATCTACAAACTCAACATTGATTCTCCTCTATTGTAATAGAGATGCTTCAGCAATACGGCACTGGGTCAGTTTCTTATGTCCAGTAATAGATCTAAAATTAGGATTACTGGATTACTTAATCCACTCTGACTCATACGTTTTATTTGAGATGCTGTTAATGCCATTTTGCCTCAACTTCTCCTTTTTTGACTTAGTGCAACAAATATAGGAAATGCAAAACAATTCAAGTCCTCTTTCTGTTCTCAGTTATATGATCTTCAACTCTAAGGAAACAACTAAAACAAAACAAAACAAAACACTCGAGACAGAGCTTTAAAGAAATATTCATAATCATGGAAACTTTCAACCTTTTTTCCTGCTAAAAACTCAATCTCCTTAAATCCAATCTTCTTTTGGATTTTATGTGATAGACAAACACAACATAGTGTGAGAAATGAAGGTGACAACATCCTGTGGCGATGTTTGTCTTCATAAAGGGAGCTTGTTAGAGTCAATAGTAGGATTGATAGAGTTAACTAAACGGGAATTCTGGAAGAAAACCTGGGAGAGGCTGCAAAAGACTAAAGACTCGGATGAATTTTTACCTTCCAGCACAAAACGCCTCATACATTAAAACAGGCTTAGGCTTCCTGTTTACAGATGCTCTTCTTCTGACCTGACTGAGGTTGAGCTACTTTGCAAACGGAAATGGGAAGAAAATCAATTGAGACATATCACAGTGGGGCTGTAACCCTTTATCTTCTGTTTACCAATTTGAAATCTTCTGCATGGAGGTGGTTGCATTAATTTCTATATATGTGCCACCAGTGAAAAGGGGACGAGTCACACTTTTGAGATTATTATTCATAAAAAATGTGCAAGTCAAATTCCCAACTAAACACTATGTTGCTTTGGTCTATCACTGTTCCAACAAAACTCATGGAGGTTTCTTTGTATAAGATGACCATCCCAAAAAGTTGGGTGTGAATACTTATGCATGCCATCGTGGACTCGTATTCTGCAGGATTCTCTGAGTGCTCTTAGAAAGCTACTGACTTATCCTTAAAGTGATTCAGGTTGTAGCTGAGGGCAACTCTGAGAAACACGGGGACAGAAAAACCCTGTAGCTAGGTGGGATGCCATCTACTAAAAGCTTTGATTGAAAAAAAAAAAAAAGAAAAGACAAACAAAAAACAGACTGGTAATCCATGAAAAGAAATTACCGGATTATTATATTTAGATGAAGCTGGACAAAATTACATTTTTCCCCACAGCATCAACTATAGAATACTTTATGCTACTATAAAATGGAGAAACAAGGCAGATTTGGTGCGGGGATCACGGTGTACATAAAAAGCAAGATTTAAAGTGGATTACCAAGTATCATTACTGACATTATCATGTATAATACAGCCCTCATTTACGTCCTCCTTCCATGTATTTAAGGTTTTATTATTGTATCTATTTTAAACTGTGTGTTTATATAGATATTTTTTGCAATTTTTTTTCGATTCTTTTTAAGTGTTTGTTATTAAGAGGGATTTCGGTCTATTATCCTGCTTCCTTTTATACTTATTCCATTTTTTTATTATTATTTAATTATCCTCCATAAACTTACATAACTAGAGATCCACCTTTATCCCATCCAGCCACTGAAACCATTTAAACTAATCTTATCTCCTCAACAATAAATGTGTAACTGTTATAAAAGGGTTATTCGATCATTTACTCCAGTGTTCAGCTGATGGATCAGCCTAAAACATCTCTCTCTGTCTTCACCAATCTCACTGCTTAAGACACTTAAAAAACTAAGTCCTCATTACTGCTCAGAGGTATTGACAGCTTTTTTTTTTGCTTTAACAATTTATGCCTCACAAAATCATACTTCCCGGTGAACAACACCAAATTTAGCATCTGAACAGAAACAAATACATAAGATCTTGTACTTAAACTCCCTCCAAGAAGGTTATTGCAAATAAACAATAGACAACTGTTATACTAAGACAAATTAAAAGCTCTGAGATTTTAGGGTTTCACACTAATATAGTAATATATGAGATGTTTTTAATACTCAAACTGCAAAAAAAAATAAATAAATAAAAAAAAAATTTAAGAAAATTAAAAAAAGAAAGAAATCCTTCAAATAATAGTATTAGCTAAAGAAAAATAATAAACATGCAATAATACCTGGATGATACTGATGCTATTTAGTGGAGTTAAATGCCCCAAAGCTCATGAAATCTATGTATTTGGCTCTTTTTTGATTTAAAGTAATATATTAGGTCCAGGCTTAACTTCTTGAAGATACGGTAAAGCATTTCTTTACCACGGATGTTGTTACAATAACGTTTAACAGCAGTAATCAGTTGCAGCTGAGAGTCTACTGAGCAGAAAGCCATTAGGAAAGTGAAAAAAAATACCTCATGGTGGTGAATCTGAGCCTGAAGCTCCTGGATGTTGTTGGTGGCAACAGGCCTGTCCTGGATGATGCGGTGAGCATCCTCAATTAATCTCTGGAGGTTTCTCACTTCCTGTTCATACTGCTCGTACTGAACCACCGCCTCCTGTTGAAAGCAAGGTATGAAAAATAACTCCTAATGACACACAGCTTAAAAACAATTTGAACAGTTCATTCATTCAATCAATCAATCAATCAATCAATCAATCAATCAATCAATCAATCAATCAATTTCTTTATTGTCAAGTACAATTTACATTGTAATCGTGATTTCAGTTTTACTACAAACCATTAATCACATACATCAGATACATTGGGGTGGGGCTCACAGGGGGAATGATTTACTGAGGCCATGCCTGCAGCAGATCGCTGCCTTTGGCACGTTCTTATGGCTGCCAAGGACCCCACGTGAGGCGGTTCCCTATAACATCCTCCCAATATACAGTTAAAGGTGTAGTAGAGAATGTTCTTTTTGCAGGTGGATCATCTCAATAAGTGGTCTACCTAATTGTCAATCATTCTGGTGACATGTTTTTGAAGGCTGTCATACATGCTCATCTCGTTAGCTATCTTTTTCTGTGCATGTGCACTTTCAGGCGTATATCTGTGGTGAGCTACGGTTTCAGACAGTCATTAAAGCTCACCTTTCTCAAGTAAGCTTCTATGAGCTATAAGAACAGCAACTTTTAAACAGAGCATGCTCTCGAACGCGTTTAATAGGAAGACCTTTTGTCTTTGAATGTGTCCACCCTTTGTGAATAAAAAGAAAACTAGGATCTGATTTAGGCAGATTTGATTAAAGGGTTAAAGGGTGATTAATAGAAAATGCACGCCATACTTTTCAGATTTGCAATTCATAAAAAAACTTTACAATGATCTACTACTTTTTGTTGTTCTAAAATATCACAATAACCTTTAGTGAAACTTGTAGTTTTGAAAATGCAGAAATAAAAAAAAAAAAAGTTTTTGCAGGTATTGTTTAAATATACAGTTTTAGGTGTTTCTGGGATTTCATGATGCAAAAACTTTTATTGTTCTTGTTCTTTTAATCTTTACAAATCAATTTATAATGAAACAAAAAAAAATCAAGAAGCTTTAGATTTGATTGATGCTGACTCCCAAATGGACCCAACAGCTTTGTATAAAAACAACGGGAAGCAGCATGGAAGACATACTGCTTCAACTTTTTGGAAAAGGATGCATTTGATATAAAATGACACCTGAGGAATCTCTCCTCTGTTGCTCCAAAAAAGTGCTTTAACCTCTAAGAACCCAATAGTATTAGTTTGACAGAAAAAAAAAACTAATACAGGTCTAAAGTTAAACACTACCCTGATGATGTACTAGAGAAAACAAACATTCCTGAGAGGCCTGTGGAGACGCTACAGAGACAACATTGTGAGCTGCAGAGCACTCATTTTTTTAAGAGGAGATACAGACGGAAAAAAAAAACATAAAAACACCTCTTAACTTTAAATGTATATAAAACAGCCACTGTCCTAATCATATGGAATATAACTTTAAATGAACAGAAGGCCTGAAATGAGTACTGCCCTCTACCTGCAGGATGTTGCACTGCTGGATGGTGGTGTGCTGCAGCTGGCTGGCTTCTTGCTGCAGAGACTGAGCTGTGCGGCAGATGGGCAGACTGGCCACAACTTCTTCAGGGAGCCGTAGGGCACTCTGACACTGCTGTACTGAAGCCACCTGCTGTTTGAAGCTCTCCATATCTGCCAGCAGAAGCTTAAAAGGAGAGGATGGGAATCATTTACACATGTGCAATAAAGAAAGATGCATGTCCAGAAGATGAATGCAACATACGAACCTGTCGCTGTGTGAGCTGCTCCCTGAGGCTGAGCTTGTTGAGATCAGGAGAAGCTAGTGCAACCTGGATCTGATCAACAACAGCATGCAGGCTTTTCACCTCTGCCTCCAGACGCAGCATGTCCTAAAGAGAGACAGAGATGTAAAAGATCAGGCTGAGCATGCAGCAGGGGGGCATTTATAGTTCCTTCTTTAAATCTGCAGAAACTCATCATTTTATTTGTTCTTTTTAGTGAATTGAATGTAGAAATAGAATATGTCGGTTCACAAGTGGTTTGGAATCTAAAAGCCCAAAATTATACAAACAGTGTTAATGAGTTTTTAGATTTGAAAGCCTGGAAAAAAAACAAGAACTTATATTTTCAAAGCTCTAACTCCCTAAAATTGTTTTAGAGTGGAAAAGATCTAATAGTACCATATTTTGTGATCTGGATAGTGTTAAAAGTTATTAGATTCAAGCAGTGGATTTGCAATGTTTCATTATGATGATGTTACATTCTTTAAAACCTGAAGGGGGCAATGTTGTCACATGGATGGAAGGTGTTTGTTCATCTCTCACCAAACAGCTGTTTACTTGAATTCAAGGAAGAAAACTACAGTAAAAAAAATTATTGCATTTTTTATTGTTTTTTTATTATTATTTTAATATAACATTTAGGAGAAAATATAAGATTTTTGATATTTTTGTGAACAAGGGAAATTACAGTAGCAAATCTGTATTTATAGTTGATTTGAGAAACTTAAATGATTCCACTTTTTAAGTTAAATAAATACAAGTTTTCTGTCTAATGCTGTTTACATTGCTTGAGGAAATATCCAAAGATGGTTTATATTTCCACATTGTTAAGGACTTGGGTAAACAATTATTCTATGAGTATATTTTCATAGAAGAGCACAATCTAATGGTGCATTCATAGATTTCTGATGTTGTGACATTTACCCATAGACTGTCAGGGATCCATTAGATCTGGATGATTTGAGTAAGGATTAATTTATAAACCTAAGAATTACGTCAACTGATGCAAGTGTAACTTCAATATAAATAGTTATATTTTAAATGAGTCAATACGTCAAAGAATGCTTTTTACTTTAGATGCATCCTGTAGACTCTGGAAGCGGGTCTTGGCGGATTGCTGCAGCTCCTCTGTGCGTCTGCTGAGATGTTTAACCTGCTGGCTCCATCCCTCCGTCTGCAACACGTCCGCCAGCTGCCCCTCCCTCTCCCCCATGGCCTCCAAGTCGCCATGGAGACCGCGACACTCCCTCAGCAATGCCTGTGAGACCAATAAATTAGACGTCAAAGAGGGGTTAATGTGTTGGGTAATTATACTAATTTAGGTCAGCCAACAAAGTGTTCAGTAAGGCATTTTCAAAGAAATCCCAAAGTAAATGAGTGTAATTAGCTGCAACTTCAGATTTATTAGGTTGATGTTTGAAACAATGCACTGTTTTAAAAGGGAAATCATATTAGTGGGACTCGGAGACTTACCTGATGTGCCCGAATTTGCTCCTGCAGCTGGGATGCCGAGGTCCAGACGATGTTACCAGAGATCAGATCATCTGCTTTTTCTATCCAGGCCAAGATGAAAGCCTTCATGCTGTGATATTCTGCGGCAAGTTTCTCGGCCTGCTCAGACAGATGGAAAACTACTTTAACTAACAAAGAAAATTATTTTAAATATTGAGACTATATAAAAAAATGGAAAAACTGGATGCATGGACGCAGTTTATTTATTTTTAACCTCTGTACTACCCTCTGAAAGATATATTGTATAAATAATTCTACTCAACTGACAACATATCCCACCTTCTTGAGTCTGCTGACTTTGTCCTGTGCCACTTGTGTGGTTTGACGCTGCAGCTCTGTTAGTTTCACCACAGCATCTCCGAGCTGCTTACACAGCAGCGGGTTCTGCTCTCCAAACTCTTGAACAGCTACTCCTAACTCTGCCAGAGAGCTACCACAGGATTCACACTCTTCACAAAGAGCCTGATGAAAAAAAAGGAACAAAAAAAAAATTTAAACATCTGATAAAGAGGAAGTCTAAAAAGGTAGGAAACTGTATAAGAAAAAATGCAGCAATTGCTTATATCTAGATTTGACAATTGAATACTTGTGGATATTGACTGAGAGGTCAAGGTCAATCAGAGAAATTGGGTAAATGGCAATGATGGTTTTCTGTGGCATACTGATGGACCCTATTAGTTAAAAGCCAAACTGACATCTCAAACAGAAAACGAATCATTTAGCTGTGCTTTAACGCAAGCTTTGTCACCTATAAACAAGAATAAAACAAAAAGAACAGGGTAGAGTGACTAAACTCCCATTTGGAGTTCTTCAATAAAAAGTGGGTCATTTGAATTCAGTTCAAAGCCATTCCAACTATCACACAGTCATTAACCAACACCTGCAGAGTGAATAGCCAGCTGAACCAGGGTTAATTGCTTGCTAATTAGTCAATCTGTCTGTTTGATTACTTTGGTCTCTTCCTTGGCCTCCCCCAGGTCGGTGCTCCTTTCTTCTAGTTTTCTTGTGATGGTCTTCAGCTTTGTCTCAATGTCCTGAAGCCTGTAGCTGAAGTCCTCTTTCACATCCCTGGTCTGCTGCACCTCCCTCTCCCTTGCCTGGACCTAAGGTATACAAACAATGAACGGTAAATAGAAATGCATTTCTAAAGCCCCTGTTACACCTTGACGACTTAGACCAACATATGCCTGACATACAAAAAATCTGGCAAAATGCTGGCATACGTTGGATAAGTTATGGGTAAATTTTGTATAAGTTATAAGCATGCTAAAGTACACTGAAGCACACTGGCACATGTCGACATACGGCAAAGAAGCCGAGACGTATGCCAGAGTATGCCATACGTGGGGCATAAGTTGCAGGTAAGTTATCAGATCACTGACATACGTTAAGTTTAAGTTACTCATATGTCGTGGTGTCTAACTTATCAAGAAACTATGAGTAATGTAAGGAGGTTCACATGAGGAAACTGTCAGTTCTCCTCCAGACTGATTCCCCAGAAGGTGAGTGTGATGGAACCTCCCTGCGTTCACGCCCACCACCAACAAACTTCCTAGTAGACATGACACTAAATCTGCTGCGATGGCAAACCTTCTATCTTTCTTTTTCTTTATTCTTATTTTTTGGCGGGCGGTAAACAACAGCTAGGTTAATACCGCGATCAAAGACATCTTTTTATCCAGGCCAGGTGTCTCTGGGGGGAGGCTCCTGAGGGGAGCAGCTTTAAGGGATGCTTCGTAATGCCCATGAAATGATGCTTCTGCATCATGAAAAAATGCACATGTAAATGAAATGATGCTTGTGCATTATTAAATGGGCATTACGCTGCCCTGTGTTATGCATAAGTTAGGCTGTCGTTGGACATAAGTTCTGGACTCATTATGAATAAGCAATGTAGGCTATATGCCCAAAATGAAAAAATTACATAGAAAGTTCCATGTATGCCAGCGTTTTAGGAGATTCTGGGAAGTCGGGCATATGCTGTCTAAATAGGCAAGGTGTAACAAGGCCCTAAAGTACAGTTAACAGGAACCTTTAAGGCGGTTAAATAAGGAGGTTACCTGATCTTCAGCAGAACCCAATGCAAGAGTAACCTCAGCTAACTGCATGCTGAGCTCAGAGGGCAGACCGGCTTGAAGGTCCTGATACTTGGACTGCTGGAGCTCTGTCATGCGTTCAACACTTTGGCGTCTGCTGATGACCTCACCATGTGCGGTCTGCAATGTAAACAGGATCACATGCACCATCCCATTCAGTCATATCTGCTTATACACCGCCCTCTTTTTATTCTCAAACAAAAAAATAAAAGGACATAGTGGCCTCTGGCTCTCTGTTTCAGGTGTGTTGTGCCTATTTAGCGGCCTACCTCCAGCTCATGGAGAAGTGAGTCTAGGTCGGCCGTAGGGCTCAGCAATAAGCCCCGGGTATCTTGGATCCAGCCTTTAACTAGGCCAAGCTCCTTCTCCACCTCCTCTCTCTCCCTCAGCTCCTGGTGTACCTGGGTCCTGCTAGCTCGCACCTGCAACAACAGGCTAAAGAACACACAGACAACACCTGTTAAAAAAACAGATTTATAAAATTGATGTTACCTTGTTAACTTTTTCAAATTTTTCACATTACAAACATAAGCTTCAATGTTTTTTGATTAAGGGTTTAATTGGGATAAATGCTGGGAAATAATGGAGAAAAAAATGGTTCCAACAGTTGGAGATTAAAGCATAGTCATGTGTTAGTCCTGACTCAGTCATAATCCACAACTGCTGCAGCTTGTGGAGGAGCTGCTAGGAAAAGGATCTTCCAGGGATTTGATGGATACCATCATCTTTGGCCCCTTTGGCCTGAATGTGAAGACTTAAAAAAGTGAATAAAAAAGCTTGAGGTATTTTGCAAAGAAAAAGTAGAAAAGATCAGACAGTAAGAACTGGGTGCATCCACTTATCAGAGTCCAACACAAATGCATGCCACACCTTTCAGATTCTAACTTATAAAAGTTGTTGTAAACTCATATAGAGTTTTTTTTTTTTTTTTTTTTTTTAAAGCAGAAGGAATACGATGCAAAAGTACTTTTTATTGGTCTGTGAAATTAAAAGCAAATGGGTTGTGGTTCTAATGTGACCAAAAATGAAACGAGTTCCATCCTTCATGTAACGGGTAACATTTCTTTAGAAGAGCTGGATGTATTGTTTTTGTTTCCTTCCTTTCTTGAATTAATTAAAAACTCATTTTCATTGTAATGAATCCTCATTTCTAAATTAAAAACAAAGAAGTGATTTGGGGAAACCATTAAGTTAATTGCATTATCAGACAGTTTCCCCTTACCTTTCATATTGCTCTTGCATGCGTCTGATCTTCTGCAGGCACGATGCGTCTTCATGTCCATTCTCTGCCTTCTTCTCCACCCCCACCTCCTTCTCAGTTTCTCCTCTAAGGCAGTGGGTTTGTTGCACCAACAGGGCCAGTGTGGATTGCTCCCTCTCCACCTCCTGACTGAAGGAGTCGTGGTATTCCAGCAGGCTCTGAAGCGCCGCCCTAGTGGCTGCCTTTTCAACGGTGCTGTCTGGTACACGACTGTGTAGGTCTTTGGAGACGGAGCACACCTTATCCATCTGAAACACAGGTAGGTTTAACAGACTCTTTGAAGCAGCTGGATTATATTATTTGCATATAACTGTGAAAAAGTAATGGCTTCTCAGCTGGCATATTACTCACAGGCATAAAACAGTTAGACTGTTCTCTAACTTCTCTACTTTATTAAGGAGTAGGCCATTAAATAATAGTTGGAGCTAATTTCTGCTTATAAAATAAAAATCTCAATTACTTAAACAAGCCCTAAGATTTAAAACTGACTACTATCTCATACCCTTTTTATTTTTTTTACTATTTTTTGTCTTAAACCCTTAATCTTTCCAACCAGTGCTGACAACAAGTTAAGACAAACAAAGGAGCCACATGGGTAAAATAAACCTGTGGAGGACAGGAATGCACCACATATAAGGAAGCGATTATTCCCTCCAGTCTGACTTCATTTCCCTTTTTGAACCAGTGCTTTGTGGGAATCTTTGTGAGAGAGTCTGAGCTCGAATTAGGTCAAAAGGCGGGAAGATGCTTCATGACACACTGTTTTGGCAGGAAGACACAACTGGCCTGTAGCCTGAAGTTACATCACAGCCCACCAACTGCTTTTAGCCGTTACTGTATTTGACCCAAATCTGCAGCAACAGTTATGCTGCTGGCAACATGTTTGTTCTATAAATGGCTTCCAGCAATAAAATCATTGTTAGCCCTTCCCAACAATTCTGCTGAGCCCTATTATTCACTCCATCATTTATGAAAACAGCAAGATGGAAACTAATCAGATTACCGTACAAAACAGATTTGAAGCTTAATTATCTGCTGGCTTAAGAAGATTTTGAAAAAAAAAAAAGATCCTGTTTTGAAAAAGCAGCAAAAGCAAAAAGCCAAATTTTTGCGACAATAAGCATTTATCCAGTGAGCAATGGTCACCTCCTGAATGAGTCATAGAGACAATAGAAATACTGTCTCAAAATTTTTAATGTAGTCATTTTTTTTCTTGGTAAACAATTCACTTCCCTTCATTATGCCGAAGAATAGTTTAGATGGCAGTAACATGGATATGTTTTAGGGAAAAATCTATTATGATAAAGAGATTTTCAATTATTCTATGCTTGACAAAATAATAGAAACTATTTCTTCTTAATAGGGGAAGTTAATTCCTATAGGTCCGTATATTAAAAAGGTGAATAACTTTGGAGGTTTTAGCCTCTTAAACACAGACTGTACAACAACACAAAAACAATCTAGAAATAAGTGTATTTACCCCTAATTTGTGCAGATAAATACAATCATCTGCCAAAGGAACGAGTTTTTGTGCTCTTAAAATAAGACAATTACATAATATACACTTGAAATTGTATATTAAATTGTCTTATTCCATTGGCAAAAGTCTCACTTACCCACTAGATTTAAGAAAAAAATGCACTTATTTTAGGAAAAAAGGGACTTATTGAGATTTAAATTTTTTTGCAGGGAATAATCAAACTCTTTGTTCCTATTTTTTTTTAATGTAGTCAGTTTAGAGCAGTGCTGCATGTGAGTAGAAAGGAAGAGGGCATGGAGGTCAGCGACTGAAAGGGCTTTAGCACTAAACCTTGTTTGTGTTTGCATTTAATTAGTGGTGCATAAAACACTGATACTCCTCTCATAACTAAAATTGGATTGGATTTGCCCTTGCTAGACTTCAGTGCCTCTAATTTATAAGCTCTGTATATTCAGACTGTATAGACAATCTGGCACACAACCGTCATGTGTTCATCCTAAAACAGCACACAAAACAATCTTTGTGATCCCTGTGTCTGAGCCAGGCAAACATATTTAGATAAGATGTTGTTTGTGCAGCAACTGCCCCTGTTTATAACTCAAAAACATCCAAGAACTTAAAATAACCCTTTTGTTTTCCAGAAGAAGATCCAGATCATTGCTGTCTGATATTTGTGCTAATAAAGAAAGGGACACCCACAGTGACAACATTAAAGACGAGTGATTTTTTTTCCAACCTTTTCGATGAAGTTCCTCCAGTCCCTGGCAGTGTCCTCCAGCGCCCTCTTCTGGGCTCCGGCCACGCTCCGGAGCTGTGTCCACCGTTGCCATAGTGATGACACAGTGTGACTGGTAAGAACTTTGCTGTGTTCACAGATGATTTCATCCAACTCTGCAGCAGTCTCCTTCAGAGCATTCACGGGAGCTTCCAGCATGCCGACCTTCATCATCAGGGACTGCAGCACAATAAACCAAATTTTAATCATATATATGTTTTCAGATAGACTTTAAATCTCCTAATAAAAATGCATATATTGCTGTTTTAATCTAGATAAACGTATCTCTTTAAGGAATAGTTGCCTACCTCCTGTCTTTGACACTTATCCTCTGCCTCATAGACACTGAGAGCTTTTGCTGTTGTAAATCTGGAAATGTTGCTTTCCAGATCATCCATCTGTTCAACCAGCATCTCTTTAGCATGTTGAAAGGAGCTCCATAGAGCACCACACCTTGATAAAAAAAAATACAGAATCAAACTGAGATATTAGCTCTCACCTGAGATTCTACTCCATCTAAAGCATAACATTAAAAACACAATACCTCTGCAGCACTTGTCTGTAAGCATCCACTTTCTGTTTGACTTCTTGCTTCGCCTGCTGCATCGAATGAATCGTCCCCCTGACCTGTTTCAACACTCCTGCCTCCACAAAATCCCCCAACAGAGGATCAAGTTTCCTTATCTCCTCTGAAGAAGTTGTAAAGTTCTTCTCTTGGGATAAAATTTCTTCCAGATCTCGCATACAGTCCTCGTGGTTCTCAATATCCACAACCGATCCGGTCTCATGGAGGAATGCTTCAACTTTGTCCAGCCATTCCTGCATGTTCTGCAGAGATAAGTGGTGCCTCTGGACCACAGCAAGGGTTTGATCCAGTGCCAGCTAGAAAACGCAGAGGGTTGCTTTATTAAATTCAAACCACAGATCTGTGCTCTGAGTTGCATGGTACATTAAATACTGCACATTAATATCATATAATCAATTTTGAAAAAAAAAAAATAAAAAAATACATTCCAGCAGAAGTAATCAGTTACCTGTTTAGCAGAGATTTCTTGTTGAACTTTGGTTTCCAGCTTCTCAAGCTCCTGAACTTTTCTCTCTATCTTGGAAGGAACAGTTTCTCTCTTACTTTCTAATTTTTCCCTTTCTCTGACTCCCAGTCCATCGACCACCTTCAGCCTTCTCCTCACTTCCTCTTCTTTGATTGTAAGTTTCTGCTTCTCTTCTTGTATCCTCTCTGCTTTAAACACTGAGATGATCAAAGGCTCCTTCAGATTTTCTTCAACAGTCTTCAACCACACCAACATCCTCTCAGCCTCTCCCATGAAGTCCTCTTCCTGTGCGACTCCTGCTTCGCTTTCTTCCACTAAACATTTAATATCGCGCTGTAAAGACTGCAACATCTCCAGCTTCAGTTTGGTTTCCTGGAAGGCAGCAGTGTCGATCTTTGGATCGAGATGTTTTGTGTGTTTATAACTTTCTTCTACCTGAGATCTCACTCCATCTAAACTTCCTAGCAGCAAATAAAGAGCAGCTAACTTATCTAAAGCACCTATTTCTTTATCTGATTTTACTCTGATCAGCCCCTGTGCAACAGAGTTAATCTCTGTGTCCAGGTTGGAAACCATCCTGTTATGTTCAGCTACTTTTTTCAAGCAATGGTTTAGGTTTTTAATCTTCTGGCCATTTATTTTCTTCAGTGTGTAGTGGAGTCTGACCAGCTGCTGAGTTTCTTTAGCTCTATATTGATAACCCCTGATTAAAAAGCCCTGGGTTTTCCCATGAAGTTCTCCAATAGCAGGACTGATTTGAACCAACCTTTCATCAATACTTTTATACATATCCATCAAACTGACACCATCCTCCTCTCCTACGGTGATAGTCTGCTTCTCAAGATTGTCAAATTGCTCTTGCAGTTCCTCCAGTGCGCTGTGAGTGATTTCAAACAAAGTGCTGAACTCTTTCCTCTCCTGGATAACCTGCTGGACTCTGTCTTTCTTCTCTTTGGCAAGAGCAAGGATGGCGTTGTACTGCTGAGGCAGAGCGTTGAGGCGCTCATCCAGATAGCAATGGTCGATCTCATTCAGAGTGGGGAGGATCTCCTGACCGATTCTTTGGACGATCAGAAGAAGGTTCTCGTACTCCGAAGCCTGCTCTAAGACACTTTGATAGTTGGACAGGTGTGTTAGCAAATACGTGCTCTCTTCAACATTGTTAAAGTTGATTTCAGGGAATGTTTTGGCTTCTGCTTGTCTTAGCCACTGGCAGGTTTTTTCCAGGTCAACCTTGAAGTACTTCCTTGAAGTTAAGGCTTTTTCTAGGCTTGCAAGACGCTGAGTAGTCCTCTGGAGTGCGGCGTCGAAGGTTGACTGTAGCTCTTCCAGTCTTGCCACTGTTTCTGCTCTTTCTTTGTCACTGGCCTCTCTCTCCAGCTCTCTCCCTTGAACCCAGAGTGACGCCAGCTCTCTATGGTAGGCTCGTAAGCCGCTCTGGACGCTCCGACATGCTGCAACCTGTTTGGTCAAATCCTCTGGAAGAAGAGCGATGTGGTCTTCTAGCAAAGCCTTCCTTTCCTGCTGCTTTACCCACGACAAGGCTCTCCCCACGCCTTGAAGGAACTGCGTTCTCTCTGTGAAGGCCTTAGGAAAAAGGTTTTATCAGTAACAGGGAACTTCAATCCTTTGAGTTTCATTTGCATTTAATTTAAAATTCCAGCTGTTTACCTTACTGAGGTATTTCCTCCTTTGCGCAACCCGAGCACCAAGAACCTCAACCTCCATCTGGGCTTGCCTAACAAGCTCCTGTAAGCATTTTTTCTCACTCAGCCCGAGCCTGGATGCCACAGCCTGTGCTTCGCTCACAGCCTGACTGAGCAGCTGCTGACGGGCCTCAAGCTCAACACAAACGCTCAGATGGTCAAACAGGAAACTCTGGGCTAGATCTGGGGGGGGGCTAGTTCTCAGAGCTGAGGTGAGAGCAGGTCGCTGCTCCTCCACCCACTCCCTGGCATCTCTCAGCTGGGCCTCCACCCGGGAGAGATCCTCCAAGGTCTGAGCTGAATCCTGAATCTTCTGCAGAATGAGGCTCTCCAGCTGGGCCCAGCGATGCTCCAGATGCCCCACCTGGATACATTTAAACAGTGCTACTACTAAGACCTAACACCTTTTTATGACATTAAAGTTTCTGAACATTTTGGCATATACTTGTAGACATGATGGTGATGCTCTCACCTGTTGTTTGACCAGCTCCTTGTCTAGCAGGCTTAGTCGAGGCAGGATAGCCTGTCTCTGGTCCCTCAGGTCTTCTAGGGTTTCTTTCTGTTCATCCAGATCACTGGCCAGTTTCCTCAGAGCCTCTAGATGCTCACTTGTACTCTCAGTGTCAGCCCTAGGTACATAAAAGCAGATTTTAAGGAATAGGGATGCTTTTCCCATATGGGGAAATTCACTCTTTGCATTTAACCCATCTACTTGGTGAGCAGTGTTATGCCATTGTACTGCATCCGGGGAACAGTCTAGGGCTAAGGGTCTTTGCTTAGGGACCCAGAGTGGATAGCTAAAGCTGCATACCTGGCGAGGTAATCCCATTCTCTGGATACTTGGTGGAATAGTTCTTCCACAGCAGCTACACTCTCCTGGTACTCTCCACTTCGCTGCATGTCCTCCCCCCGCTGTGCTTCCAGCTCTTCAGCCTGCTGGCCCAGCTCTATCCAGCCCCTTTTCAGTCTCCTTATCTCCTCCAGAGCAGGAGAGACCTGTCCGTCCGTCAACCTGCCGATGGCTTCACTCAGCCGAGCTGCCTCAGATTGCTTCTCTCTAATCTGCTGTAGGAACTCCTACAGGAAAGAAAGCAGATTATTCAGCATTGGTGTTTAGATTTTTCTACTTGTCAGTCAGAAGAATAAAACATAGCCTGTTTTGTTTTGTTGGAGAAAATATACCTTTGACATCAGCATAAGCTGTAACTATCAATAATGCTGTGCTGCTAGAGGACTAACTGACCACTTCTCTGACATTTCCTGTAACAGGTTGTTTTCCTGAGTAGAAAAAGTCCTCGGCTCATTGCTTCTGTGTCTAGCTCTTTCTCTATCTCAAACAGAGCCATGGATGGATCTATTCCTGCCAATGACAATGCAGTCTCTTTGCATATTTCCCTTTGTCCATAGAAAATTATCCTGGCTAAGTGTGTCTATATTTAGCTGTGTCTCTATTGCTGCCATTAAATTCATCAACTGTTCTTTGTGTGGTTATTCTTCTCCTTTCTTTCATAGAAAACTCACATACTGTAGCTCCCAGTTTCTTTATTTAGCAGTTTGAAAATTGGCAAAGATGGAGTTCTGCCATTAATTTTGTCTTCTCTCATTCAGTGCCACAAATATCCCTCACAGAGAAATTCTGTATATTTTTGTCTGCATTTTGTTCTCTATGATATTGCCTATTTTCTACCAATTGACTGAGCAGACAAGATGACCAAAGTGTGACTCTGCAACAGGTTGCTTTCTGTCTAAAGGTAGTTGTTTCCCTTCCCTGAAAAAATCAATAACTCAGAAATTTTCACTATTTCTTTATCATTACATTTTTTTGCAAATCGGAATTTATTTAGCTGAATCTGATGGATGGGTGAAATCAAAAGTATGGTTGAATATGAATCTGCCTTTTTGATTGCAATGTTTTGCAATAAATTAGACTATGAAATTGTGTTGCACTGAATCCTAAAAGGGAAACAAAAAAGGTTGAGTTTGTTTTTGGAGACATTACAGTGTTGTGCAAAAATACTGCTGAGGAGACGGATTCTTCACATTTCTTATTGACATAATTAAACCGAACAAAAACAGATGATCTGGCACTAAACTGATCATGAAGGCTTCTTCTTTTCCAGCAATTTCTTTTGAAAACAGAGAAGGGATGAACTGATAAACAGTTAACTAGTGATTTTATAATTTTTTTTATAAAGTTTTTTTTCCTGTTACGCTTATTAAATCTGGAGGCAGACAGACCTGTGCCTTGTCCAGCTGGTTTTGTGCAATCTTAGGCTCCAGTTCAGCAGGTCTTCTGATCATGCTCTGAAGCTGCTGTTCTGTCTCTCTAAGCTGGATCTCTAAATCCATCTTCTGTTCCTCGATGTCCCTCCAGTTGTCTGCCATCTCTTCACAAAGAAGCATTCGTTCCTCGATCTTCACAAAAAACACAATAAAAGCATCTCCATTAAAAGCAAACCGATCCCTTTTGCCATAGAAAAGTCTGTGTTTAAGTTAAAGGATTCATTTAAGTGAACAGACCTGCAGCTTGATCTGCTGGATGTTTGCTGCTGCTTCCCTGACCCTCTGCTCTGAGAGATCACAAGCTGAACACACAAGCTGGAGGTACGTGCTGGCCTGCTCCTGGAGAGCCCGCTCCTGCTTCACCTGTTTTTATGGTTTCTGTTAATTCTCTTACCAACAATGTACAAAATAGCAACATTTCCTTCCATAATTTTTACCATTTAAAATAGTAAATCATGCAATCAAGAAATATACAAAGGAATAAAATATTTAACTTTGAGTTAATAAGCAGAAAAGCACCCACTGACCTGCTGGAGGGCTTCTTCCAGGCTGAGAGAAGGTTGTGGATGAGGATTTAGTTTTTCTGAAACAGAGCTTAGCCACGTCTGGCACTGCTGCAGCGTGTCCTGCAGGCTCACATGCCTCTGCATCTCGTGGTCCAGACTCTGGTATACCTGTGAAAAAAGAAAATAATATGTGTATATTTTTGTGCTTCAGGAAATAACTTGTTTGACTTATTTTATTACATATGGTACCTTGCTAGATCTCTTGGACATTTCCAGATTTTATCATACAGCAACAACAAAGTCCAATGAATTTATCAAGGTTTGATGTCATGGAAAATTAAATAATATAAAATTCTGAAAAGTTTTGCCATTTTTACTCCAGTACTCCAAAAATTTAATTCTGCTGAATAATAGCCCTTCAGAAATCCCCCACCTATGTGCACTTACTGCTATGTAAAAAGCCTTACAAGTTTGTTGGGGGACAAAACAATGTGGCAATTAATTAATCATGTATTGAGGAAGCTTATCTCCAGAGGGACAAAAATTTTTTATTGGTTTGGAGGTTTCTTCCTGTTTAAAGGAAGATGTTCCTCTCCACTGTCGCCACAAGCATACTTGATGTGAGGGATTGCCTTCGAGTCATTGAGTTGATGCAATCAATTGGCTTTCCTTAGATAGATAACTTTGATCAGTTTGACTGTATGATTTGGTTTAGTTGTCTCTTTAAAGGGACAATGCGCTATATTTAATTGAATCATTTATTCATGTGCTAGAATTGCCCAATAAAAGTCCTAAATCTAACATAAAAATGGTGGAAAGACTTTAAAATTTAGGTTCTGCCAACTTCAAAGACACTATAAACCACAGAATCCCCCAAAACCAGGCATTTATGCAGCTTTGTATTTAACAGGTGTTAAATGTGGAGGCGTCCAAGCCCTCCAGGGGAGAGGCAAACATCGCGGACTGATTGACAGTGTTAATTTGAGATTCTGAAAGGAGGAGCAAGGGGAGGGCCAAAGTGTTGGCACTCTGCCCTGCAACTTTGGCAGAAGCTGGAAGGCTGGCGTGGTGGCAAGTGGCAGGCAGGATATTAGAGCTGTGTGGCGCTGGGACGCAGTTGGCAGCCATTACAACGCTGGAGGTGCGCTTGTAGGGAGGCCAGCAGTGGAGTGGTAAAAAGTGGCTGGATCACACAACGCCAGATTGGGCATGTGTGTGGTGGCGGAGGTGGTATCTGGGGACATGGGCAACGATGATGGAGGAGGTGGTGCCAAAATGACAGAGTGGGGCTGGATTAAGGGACTAGCCAGATCTACTGGATGGCTGTGTGTGATCATTTCTGGCTCAGCCATGAAAAAGTGGGGTTGACAAGGGATCTGTGGAGATTAATATGGAGAGATTGAGTTAGTGATGTTGGCTGGTGGCGTCTGACTGCGGCTGCTGCTGAGCTCTTCTTTGGCAAAATGAGTTGGCTGTGCCCTCTAAAGCAGGCCTGAAGGGCTGCGTTCACAGAGATGGGTATAAATGTCAAAACAGGTTAGGATTAAGTGGATACCTTGGCTGATTATATCTACCTTTTGTCTATGCATGGATTTTTCTTTTCACGTGAGACCACCTAAACACAATAAGCCCTTAATCATAAATGTTTAGGGAAAAATTTTATACATACTTTTCCATAAGGACCCCCTTTTTTCTAATTTTTCTCGCTCCCTCCTTTTCTTTGCAATCTGCTCCTTACTCACCCTCTGTGCAGTGCTGCAGATGGCTGAGTAGCTGTCTCTGATGCCTTGTTGGTGAGTCTGGACCTGCTGTCTCAGTCGGCTCTGCACGCGGTCACTACAGCCTTGAACTAAGCCCTTTCCTTGCTCTTTCAGAGCTGTCAAGCGCTCCTCAAAACCAGCAATCTCCTCCATGGTGGCCTGAGGAGGGTGACATAAGGTTGTCTTAGAGACTAGCTTCAGTAAAAAGTACTGCAGAACAAGTCAAAACATTGCTGGATGAGACAAAGTTAAGAAAGACTTTTTCCAGACCTAAAGGATTAGACAAAAAAACAGAAAAGCAGCTCTCTATAGCCTTCCTTTGATGATCCAGCTTTACAACTGAAACATCTGTTACAGATTAATCCTAAGGGGAAACTAGAGAAGGTGAACAGAGACATCAACAGTCAGCTGATAACCAGCTCAGTAAAAATCATGTAAGGCTGAAGAATCTGGAACTGAGAAAAAAAGGTTTTGAGAAATCTTTCTGCCTTATTTAGGTTCCAGCTGCATGGTTATGTCACTAATATTACAAACAACTTCAAAAGTGAAATGATGGGACCTGTTACCTTGTGTCTGGCCAGCTGTTGAGTTGCTGCCTCCAGGCTGACGTTCACGCTTGGATCCGGCGTCACCATCCTGCTGGACATCTGCAGCAGCCAGCGCTCCACTTCCTGCAGCTCGTTATGGTAAGCTTCCTGTTCCTTCACCTGGCCTTCCAGATTCTCTACGTGAGCCTGGACACCACAGGTTAACACGAAAGCAAAATGTCTCGATTCAAAACAAGAATACAGAAAAAAAAGCAGTTTATTTTCTTGGTGTCATTGCATCACAGCTGCTCCTAACCATTGCCACGTTGCAGAGGGTGGTGTAGTCCTTCTGCACACGATGCATTTTGTCCCTGATGGAGGGATAGTGGACAGAAGCCAGTAGAGAATCTCCCTTCTCCATCACAGACCTGATGGATCCATCATGGGACTGAACCATCTGTAAGAGAGCCTGAGGACGCAGATACAGATTTATATGCAAATGAATATAGCAGTATATAACAGGTAACATTCTGCTAAAAAAGAGATGTTAATATTCATAAGAACCACTTCTGTTTCGTATTCATTTTTGATTTTTTAAATTGCATTCAAGAAATCTGACTAATAACTGTTCTCTTTCTACCTATTCATCAATTTTAATGCAAACTTCCACATTAAGCAACTATTTCCACATTCAAATCAAACTTAATACATCAGCAGTTATTTTAAGTATATTCACTTTAAGAGTTTCTCAAGGTCACACATGACCAATTAAGATAATAATATTCAGATCATCTCACCTTTTGAGCCACTTAAGTGTAAAATTACTGAATTAATGTTGTGAATTAATCTTTTTTTTTTAATGCCTTACCTTATACTTTGCCAGCTGCGCTCTGCGCTGGTACAGTTCAGCCTTGGGCTCCACCGGTGTGCTGAGCAAAGCCCTGGTCTCCGCGAGCCACTGGACCTGAGCCTTGTACCGGTCGTGAAACTCCTTTGCGAGCAGTAGCGCTCGTTCCAGGAAGCTGCGTTCTTGCCTCAGTCCCCCGGCGAGCTCTTCCAGCTGGGCGAGACGCGCTTCCACTTCTGCTCCTAAACTTTCAGCCCCAGCCTCGTCTAAGAAGCCCGCTGCCTGCTCCGCACGCTCTCTCAGGGATTTCAGGAGGTTGTGGCCATGCTGAAGATCTGACTGGAGGCTCTGGTTAAAAGAGCAGAAATATGCACACTTGACAGAGTCTGTATGCCCTTTGGTTTTGTTTTCAAGTTTTCTTAAGTTATATAAAAAAAAAATGTATAGGCATTTTATTTAGAAATAAAAAAAATGTGTTTTCACTCATTAGAGATAAATAAAGATGAAAAAAAAGATTGTGCTGTGGGTTTGTATTCAGCTCCTTGTGTGTATGCATATTTCTTACCTGACCTGTTTATATATTATGACAGAGAGAGCATACAGAAGGAAGTGCTGCTGAAGTACAAGTTGCTTTGCAAGGCACTTCAATCAAGAATTAATAGAAAATAGAATACACATCCTCTTTCTTTAGAGAAAAAATTATATCATAGCTTCCAAAACCTTTAGTGCACTATTCCTGATACTTTTGTCCTTCACCTCGAGTGCTGCCGACTGCCACAAACTATACTAGCGGGGCTTTCTGATGGCTTTGAACTCATCAGGTAGGCTGACACCTGCAACCAGAAATGTGGAGAAGAATTGGGAGTTCATGGTGAGGAAGAACCGGAGTGAATAATATGAAAGGAGGACCCAATTATAAAGACCCTTAACAGGCAACAGTAGCTGCGGGGGTTTCCAGGGCAACACTACACACTGCCACACACACGCACACACTGACCTCCCCTCGATGGGATGCCATACAGCTTTCATCATCAGCCTATTATTGGATGAGCAGAGACGGTAACCTCACACTCAAACAAGCTCGGTGCTCAATCCAGCTCGCTGGGTAACATAACAAGACCTGCGTGTGTTTGCACACGTCTCTGTGCTGCCTAATGTGACGCTCCAGGTTTGATCACCATCTCCAATGCTTCTGCATTGTCACTTTAACAAGAAACACCCTACATATTTAAATTAGATGCAGCTCTTTGTTATATAGTGTGGTGCAACTATGTTTAGACAGAAAGGGGAGTTAATTACTTCATCTTCCTCTAAACCTGACCTATCTTACTTGCAACTTTGTGTTCCCCTCTAGAAAAGAGCCCTCTAAGCTTTCAGATTTTGGTCCATTGTTAGCAGTGAACTATATGTCATGTAAGTTTTGGACCTTAAGGTCTTACATTATTAGCCACCATCTACAGAACACATTATCTGAAGTCCTAAGCACAGAGTGGCCTTTACGTCTCAGCTGTCTAGTGATCCCCAATTATCCAAGTCCGTTCCTCATGTGCCGGTTGTAATTGTAAGCTTGAGAGCTTCTAGATGTTTTTCCTTCTGCATGAGTTCCTTGATTCCTTAATCAACTCTACTGTTTCTAATTCAGCTCTGACAACTGAGCCGATAATTAACTGCAAATCTTGAAACACTATTATGATTGGGAACTTTTATGCAAATGATTCGTCTTTAAAAAGCATTACTAAAGCTCTACTGTACATTACTGACGTCTCCTGTATTGTAATGAGATGATTCTGATTAACTGTTTTTTTAGGCTTTTGTGGTTCATTCTCCGTAGGTTCAATTGTTTACATTTCTTCACTTGAATTTAACACATGCAATTTACAATTTCATACGCAATAACCTGTTTCTCTTTATTTGACACCCAGTGCAATAACTATATATATATATATATAAATATCTATCTATATAAATACAGATGTAAACAGCCTGTGCAATAACCCTGTATAATGGCTGTCCTATGTGGATGCACTGTATATTCTGTATATATCCCATGCATCTTTTTCTTCCTTTGGCACATTCTTCCTCTTTTTGACCATTTGAGCTGAATGAGTAAATTTCTCTGCTGTGAGATCAATCAATCAATCAACCAATAATAAAAATATAAAAGTTAATACAACAATTTTACGATCAATACATTTTTTTTACACTCAAAGTATTCCTAAATAAAGAAAAAGAACTTAAAGTCCGGCTTTTCAGAATAAAGTAATTACGGGTTGATTCTAACTTTAAAACAGTGCTGATTATTTATAACAGCTTGGGTTCAAAGCTTTTCTTTTGAACAACTAATCCAGTTTTATCCTTAGGACTGCAGCATTTAGACTTAGACAGTTTTATTTTGTCATTTTGTATACGCAAGTGTAAACAAAAAACAAATTTCGTTTAGACCAGCCCTCTTGACAATTTTATTTTTAAAGTGCAGCCTTGATAAGGCTGTCAACATTTTTTTATATTTAGAACCATTAAGCAATTCTTGAGGTATTGAGAAATCTGTGTTAATTACAAAGCAAGATGTATTCATTTAAACCAATCAGCACCTGGGAAGAAGAAACCCTGTTGTACTTATTTTTGATTATATTGCTTTGCTTGAAGTATTAAGGTAAATAATGCTTTTTAGAAAATAGTCTAAAAATAAAGCAAAAAGGGAAAAGTAACAAATAAACCTTCCACATAGAATAAATATATCTATCTACTATCTGCAAATGGTTTTTTTTCTAAACTAACCAATCAGCAGCCAAAAATAAAGTCCAAAACCGGCTAATGGGCCTTAACACGGCTATTGACTCCTGGTCTGTGTGTCGCTGGGTAATCGTCCCAGCTCACTGAACATCCCAGCTTCTCTCACAACAGGAGATGAGTAAGTGATGAAGCACGCTCATGTGTTATATTCAGCACTGGAAGGACACATGTGGCGGCAGCACATCTCTGGTCGCTATGCAGAGACAGAGCATCGATCCTTGAAAGCAGATTACGGCAAAGACCACACCAGATGATGTATCGCAAGTGTTAAGTGGGTGTGTGGTGCGACTGGTTTACGGGGATGAAGACAAAGAGAGGGGAGATGGTAAAGAACTGAAGTGGAAGAAATGTGTGAAACTACATAAAAATCACAGGTTTAGGAGCGAGCTCTGTTTTCAAGTTTACGCTTCAGTTTGAGAGATGAAGTGAGAGAAAACAGTGTGTGTGTGTGTGTGATGTGGAGTGGTAAGGGCACTGCATCAATTACAGCGCCTGTGCCAGCGGGTTCCTGACACCTACTCTTCTTCATCCTCTTACACACAGTGGGAGGTCTCTCTCTGATACCACGCTTCCTCTAAACCGGCACCAGCTTTGTCTTCATAAAGACCCGATCGATACGCACATACCCATCAAACCTTCTGTGGATTTGATGTGAACCACGCCACACAAATAATGGTGTGGATTTTTTTTCTTTTTACTGCAGTGGCAAATGTGTCTGAACAGGGTTAGGACAAGACGAAACTGTTAAAATGATTCCACTGCTGTAATATTCTTTAACTTGTCCTGCTACCAAGAACACTTACTTTGCCAAAAATATTGTCTTGGAAGGGGATCTGAATTTTTAATGTTACACAGAGGAACCATGGTTTCATGCAGGAAAACTGACCAATTTGCCATTTTTTTAACCCATGCAATAGTGTATTAAAGCATGGCTCTGCATCTAACTGCATAAACAAATCCAGCCCAAACTGTGAGCAACAGATCGATACCTCTAATTTCTTCATCTTTCTCTCCATGGCCTGCCGGTCCAGCGGTTCAGAGCGATCAGTCAGTGTTGTGAAGCTTTTCTGAGTCGAAGCAAGCCACTCGCTGAATGACATGCAGAGGTTCTCTGCCTCTTCCATGCTCTTCAGTTCCTCCTGTAGCTGTTTGATCGTATCCTGAAATCAAACAGGATTAGAATTTCATTAATATTAAAAGAGTTGCATGTAACACAAACACCTCTGTCTATTTAAATAAGACTTTTCATGCGACGTATAAAAATAAGTGCATATCTGTGGAATGGATGTCGGTTACAAACAGACATGTAAAAAGTTGGCCTTGCATTTAGACAGTAATTATCCACTATATTCTGATAACTATATATAAAATATAAAGCAATCAGCTCACTTAAAGTAGCTGCCATGCAGTTAAACTGACAGACTGTAAGTAATGAACCCGTATCAAAGCAGCCAAAAAGGTATTGGTAACAAGGAGTAGCAGCTTCTCAATTAGGTTAGATAAATCTATCAGAAGCTTCATAAATATAAGTGCGGAAAGAAAAAAGCTAATAGGAAGTCTTTTTAGTAGTTTTTCACAAGCCATGTTTGCAGGGACACAACACTTGAATATGTTTTGCATTAAAGCATTATATATGTCAGATTACCATAAAAGTAACACCTGAATTGGTGCAAAGAATTATAAATTAGTGTTCACACATACTGATAAATGTAAAGCTAATAGAGTTATACTGCAGGTGTAACTATAGAAACAGTGCTTCTGCAAAGTCTGGATACAAATATATATTTTTAGATTTTTAACAGTAAAGACCTTTTTTCTACTCTCCAGTTATTCACTGCTTTGCATTGCTATCACATCAAGTCACTAATAAAGGATTTGAAATGTGTGTAGAAACTCTGAGCTAAGGAAAAGAAAAAGGGTGTATATATATATATAAAAAAATAAAATAAATGGACCTTAAAACAGCTCACTTCTTTTTTTTGAGTGGTTTGAATTATTAGATTTTTCAGGCTGTGACTTCTGGGAAAATTCTGGAAACATGCCACGTTTATTTTTCTTTTAAGATGTGAGATTTTCCCCAACAGTCCAACATCGGTCACCGCGGACTACAAATCCTCTGATCCGGCATCAAAACAGAAAATACCTGCTTTCCTCCTTCCTCTTTCATCTGCTCAATGTCAATAGTTTCACTACAAAGCAGCATGGGCTTTTCTTTTATATCCTTGAAGCAATATCTTCTTGACTGAGGTTTTGAGTCAATAACACCCCAAGGATACAGGAAGCTTCCTGTAGATTTGACACATCATTCACTTAACTTGCAAATCCTGCAGTGTGGAAGCTCCAATTAGCTGAGAGTGCTGAGTGTACACCTTTTCTTTCTGAGTGGAAAGAGGTAACAGCTTCCCACCTCTAGCCCATATGGTCCCTACTTCCTGCAGGATAATTACAGGAATACACAGGATGAGGAGGTATTACCTGTGCGGCTGTAAGTAAATGCAAGCCTAAGTCAATGTAAGCGATAAGAGGTGTTCAGTGGTAGCATTTAGTGGAGGTAAATGTGGATCAAGCACATACATTCAGAGGTGTTACTAAAGAAAGAAATAAAAACAATGTAGCACAAAAAAATCTTTTCCACTCCTGATTCAAGGTGTGAGATTGCAGTTTGCAGCGTATAATTACAGCTTTAGTCCCTGACCAGGAGAGCTCCATCGATTTTCCTTTAGCCCCCCCAGAGGGAGAGACAAATAGAGAGGCCAGATCTGAGCACTGAGAGCAAAACAAGCTGGGCTCCCAAAGGTAAGTCCCAGCGCTCCTTCAGCAGGGTGTTACAGAAACACAAGCCCAAACTGGAGTGGATTTTATGGTGAGAGAGTGAGAGCACAGCCATGTGTGAAAAGGCCCACTGTGGGCAGAGAGTACACAGCAGTTCAGATGGGTACCTGACAAAACAAATGCATTAGGAACACTATAGAAAATCCCTGCTAGCTGTGACTTGCTCAAGCTGTTTTATTTTAATTCATCCAATTAAATCAGGTAAGGTTGTTAGAAAAGAAAAAAGAAGCCCAGCCTTCATATTCCACAGCATTTGTGTTACTGCAGGGATAGAAATCCTTAACTATTTTAAATTCCAGATCAGCATTACCCTGCAGCATTAAAGTTGTTAACCAAAGATTTTAAAAACACATGCATAGATTCTAGATCTAAAAAATCAAATCTTATCACACTAGGATTTTTATTTATTCTGACAGCCTCAGTTAGCCTGTTGCCTATGCCATCCACCTGTTAATAGCACCATGTACCCCTCATCTTAAAGCAACACACTAAAAATCAAAAACCTGAAATAATTTTAACTTGATTTGTTGAACATAAAGTGAGTTAACTGTATTTCAGTAAACTAAACAGGCATCAGATCCTTGTTCAGCAAGGATCTTCCACCTTTATGGGCGTCTACCGCGTAGTAGGTAGCAATGCTGCCCTGCAGCAAGAAGGTTCCGGGTTCGATTCCCGGCATGTTCTCCCTGAGCATGTGTGGGTTCTCTCTGGGGACTCCGGCTTCCTCCCACAGTCCAAACACCTGACTGTTAGGTTAATTGGTTACTCTAAACTCTCCTTAGGTGTGCGTGTGTGCATGAATGTTTGTTTGTTCTGTTTGTCTCTGTGTTGTCCTGCGATAGACTGGCGACCTGTCCAGGGTGTACCCTGCCTCTTGCCCATTGACAGCTGGAGATAGGCACGCTGGGATAAGAGTAATGGAAAAAGGATGGATAGATTTAACTTATGCAACAAAATTATGAGAGTTTTAAAGAAAAAAAAAACATGTCAACCCAAGTTTAAAAAGGTGTACTTCATAAAGTTTCCGCTGAGTGAATAATACTACTCCATCTGTTTGCTTATTTTTCCCTTTTATATAGTCATCAGTTGATATGCAGTGCAGCATTTGCAGTCACAGTGTCGACTCAGTAGGGACGTGTAAAGTGGGGTTCTGGCACAAGCACTGCTCCATTACAACCAGTATTCCTACTTTCACTCACTGGTTCTTAATTTCCTTGTCAAATTGTTTTAGAGGGAATGGCCAATTTGAGAGGACATCTAAAAAAATGTCCCAAGTGGCTTAAAGTCAGGATTATGTATGTGAACATATCAGAGGTATTGTTAAAAGACTTGATTTCCTGACATTCATACAAAAAGATAATGGCTCTGCCAGCGTGTTTGCCATTATACGTGATATGAGGAAAAAAAGGTAAAAAATATGCCTCTCAGTGTTTATGTTACCAAAAATTTGCAAGATTATAAGAAAGACAATCATAATATGGTTAAATAGTTACACTTAAAATTGTATAAAGGTGCAAAAAATATTGCTTTTGTAAAATTGATCTTTTGCACTTCATTATACAATCAGATACTTAAACTTAATAAATTAGCATGAACTTTTTAAATATTTTGTTATTTAACATTTACATTTTGTGTTTGAGTTTCACAAGGAAATGACGTCTTCCAAAAAAATTTCAGACATTTGTGCATACAGTTTTCAATACAAAAAAATCCTGGAGTAATGTTAATAAAAAAAGGATCTAAAACTTAGTGGAAAGCAAAAACAGCGGGTTATGTGGTGAATATGTCAAGATAGATAATACGCAACTAAAAAAACCAAACAAAAATCTCAAAATCTTTGTTTATAACATACAAGGAGCTTAGAAACTCAAGAGCCTACAGCTATGAACATCAGACATATGAGAGTATCGAACCTGAATGTTGAGGAGAAGGGAGTGGTAGCGGGCCGTTAGCTGGGTGGCCGTTACACTAATGCGACTACTGATGTAGGTTTCCTCCAGAACCTGCTGAGCCAGAGATGAGAGACCATCGACTTCTCCCTGCCGTGCAAGGACTGCCTCAAGATAGCCCTAATAACAAGGATAGAGGTAAACAAACCATGTTAATTCAAATACGATTCAAATACTGCCAGAAACTTTTCATTTATTACCATAGAAATCCCAGCTACAAAGGAGAATGTATATAGATTGAAAAAAAAAATGTAGCATCAAATCTTTAAAGGTGTTCCTGGTCCTTTCACAAATATAGAAAACACTAAAGCTGTCATAGATTGTGATAGGCAAAGGAAATTTCTCAGGAGTGGAAACCAAGTTGAGGAATGCTGTAGTTTTTAAATAAGCAGTGTGTTTCAGGCTGAAGTGGAGGATGCTTCATTGCTTTCTATCTGACAGGGAAAAAAAACACCTCTTTGGTTTACACTTCAGTGCACGTACTGTGAATGAGTAAATTGGGGTGGCTGTCAGTCAAAAGGGGAATCTGATTCATAAACACACAAAAATATGTAGAGATTCAATAAGAAAAAATATATACCGTATATATATAATTTTTTTAAAATATATTTATTTATTATATATTTCTCTATTGGATAATGTCTACCAACCCATGCCTGAAGCTGTTGTTAAACTGGAAATCTCCTTCAGCGACAGACTGCTTCACCCTAAATGTACCAGGAAGCGTTATCACAGATCCTTCCTCCCAGCAGCTGTAAGATTATATATATCTATATATATTTAACACAGTTTCTACCTTAGTCAGTTAAATTAAATGCTCTGTCATTTTTTTGTCTCTGATGTTGCAGCTATTTTTCACATATCCATTACTATGAAAATGTCTAAAGCTGATATGGATTTTTTTATTTTCCAGATGCATAGTATTTATATTGTAAAAACACAGTAGAGTATTTTATTGTTTATCTTTTATCTCTTTACTATTATGTAATTCTTATTCATTTTCCTAAGGTTCATATTTGTGTGACGATTTTTGCGATAATGTTTTTCATGCTGTAAACACCAGTATTTCCCCATTGTTGGACAATAAAAGGATTTTCTATTCTATTCTATTCTATTCTAATTGGAATATTTTATCCGATTTGAAGGCTATAGATCAACACAAAGCACTGCATGATTGTTTTACAAACAGAAATGATAAAAAGAGGGATGGGCATTTGTACTCAGTACCTCTAAAGGCTGATTTATACTCTGAAACTAGGTCGTCTGCGTAGGTGTCTCAGTGAACACAAAGATGTGCCCGCCACCTCCGCAGACCCTCTGCTGCACCTCACCTAAATTGTAGGTGACCGCAGACAGTGCCGCAGACAGGAGTCCGGCTTGTTTTGTTTTTATGATTGCAACTGCGGAAAACAACTCGTGAAGTGGGAACAACTAGAAGAGCGAAGTGTGCGAGAACGCTGGGACCGTTTTTCCACCTGAATCCCCGCTCTTTTTCGCCCTCATGTCCCTCCCTTGTCGCACAAACTTGCCACCATTTCCTCACCGCCTCGGCCGTATCTATAGCCATAGTGTATAGCGCAGACCATTCTCAAGATTGAGCATAAATCAAAAATGTCTGCATGAAGCTAACTGCGACACACTGCTGTGGGGAGTATAACCAGCCCTTTACTCTGATACCCCTTAATAAGAGCCACTGCAAATAATGTTCCCAATAATTACCATACCAATAAGTACATTTAGGTGAAAGCTTATTTGAAGGAAAAGAGCCGTGAAAATCATTTGACTAGACTATACATAGGATATGCTATGCAGATATTCAGATTCAATTATAAAAAAAAAAAATCAATGATAAAGCCAAAAATCTTGACCTGGAGTTTCCTGAGCTGACTCTGCTTGGTGTTTCTGTCCGACCTCCTGTTGTTTCTGATGCTGGCCATGTTTTCCGTGTCCTCCAACCACTGAGCCAGGTTCAGGAACCTGTGACCCATCTGCCTCAGCCTTGTCAGCGTAGAGTGCAGCTGGGCCTGAGTCTCCTCCAGGCGGCACTGGTAGGACGCCCATTCTCGTTTTGCGGTGTCCAGAGCCCGGTCCTCAATCTGAGGAACGCCCCAGGGGATAACACTCTCTCTGCTGGTCAGCACCGAAGCCAGCAAAGACTGACCCTTTGAGCAGCTTTCCTGTAAGCTCTATAAAACAAATACAATAATTAACTTTAGGGATATTTTTTTTTGGTTTATGGTTTAGTTTAACTTACAAAGATTTCCGAATTGTGTGCACATTTAGACACCAAATCTATGTCTACCTGTAGTTGCTGCAGGGTTTTTTCAAGCATGTCCACGTTTCCTTCTGGATGAGACAACGATGCCAAAGACGCCTGTTCACGCTCCAGCCAGTCCTCAAAAACATGTAGTCCGCGTTGATATTCCTGATGGACCATAACCAGCTCCTTGGCCTTGCTAACAGCGCTCTGTGAGGTCACAGATGTTCAAAATAAATAGTTTGACAAAGTTACAAAATAAAAAAAAGCCATGTTGTTTTGAAAATCTAGAGCAGAAATCCAACCAGTTGTTGGTAATCGGTACCTTAGCCTTTTCTTTCAGGTTGTTGTATCTACACTGCAGCTGTTGCACTTCCTGCTGAGTTGTGCAATGTTCCGCCATGTTGGAGCCTTTTGTGGCGATGGTCTCCAGAGGACTGCTGTGACTCAAGACCTCCTCATAGAGAAGCTAGAATATAAATGCACAGACGAGAGGCAGTCATTCAAACATTGCAATAGAAAGATTTGAATATGTATATATGTTTTGGTTTGTTTGCTTTTTCGCATTAACAAAAAAATTATCAATCTTATGACAAGCATTTGGTAAACAGTAATGTGCCCTGCATTGTGAAATGTGGACAATCTGTAAACAAATTAAATGTATTTTACTGTCATTTATGTTAGGTAAAAAAAAAACAAACTGAAGAAGTAGAAGAAAACAAGAGTAAATATGAATTGATTGAAATTCTTTCTTTCTCTCTTTTTTTCGTTCATAGACCTTTTAATCTATAAACCTGCTCTGACATTTCTAGGCTAGCCTTTGCAGGAAATACCTTCATCTTTCCCAGGTTGGCAGTCTTGTCCCTCATCTCTGAATATTGTCTGTCCGAGCAGCTCAGTGTCTCTTCCACTCGATCCATCCACTGCACAAACTGCTCCACGTCTTCCTGATAGCTGGTCCACTGTGACAGACATCCTTCCAGCTGACTGTAGAAGTTAACACGGCAATGAGGACGCGAATCAAACCGATGAGTCTTAGTAATGAAAATAATTGGTCTTTGCTCACCTTTTACACTGGATTGAGGCAGAGAGCAACGAGTCCCAAGAGTCCTTGAGGTCTTGGATCTGTTTGCGGATCACTGGGACCCCTTCAGCCGAAGTATTTCTCTGGACTGCCTCGCCTCGGGTCAAAAGCATTTTTAGCTGGATTTCACGCTCCTGGCGGGATGCAAGTAATGCCTACAGATGGACAATAAGCAGATGCAAAATAACTTAATGTCTAAAACCCTTTACATCTCTGCTGCAAAAAAAATTCATCATTAGTCGGTGATTACACAGGTTTGGTCAGATATATCTTTTAACATTATATTATTATGTATATATTAGTATTTTAAAATCTTAAGAACAACTTAATGCATTTTTATTTGCCTATAAATAAAAATGTTAAATATTATAATTATAAATATTTAACATTTATAAAATTGTAAATATACTACTCCAACAGCAGTCTAAAACTCAGTCAAGGTAGAGATCTTTCATATGTGTGTCTAGAAAAATTAATCCACAGAGCTGGCAGAAATTGATCGATCCCATATCATCTTACTTCGAGCTGCAACATGCGGTCCTCCAGTACACCCTTGTCCTTAGTAGTGGAAGTGCACGTACTTATGACCCTCTGTGCCTCACACACCCAGTCCTGAAGCTCTTTAAGCCCCTGAGAGAAGAGCTGGTGCTCCCCGACTATGCGCTCTATCCTGGAGGCTTTATCCTGCAGATATGAGGGTGCAACAATGTAAACATACTCTTCAAAGCCTATATTAGTACTACAAGATATAAGAATTACAATCGACTGTTCGTCTTGCTCTGTTTGTTTGTTTTTGCCAAGAGAAGTCTCCAGACAACTGCTCATCCCCCAATCTTGCAGCAGTCTGTTGTACAATGCTTTGAATATCCAAGAAACTAAAGAACAGGCTAAATGAAAGTGAATAGCAGAGCTGAATGGCTGAATTTGTACTTCCAATTTCTGTCAGGGAAAATAACTAAAATAATACTCCAGTGTAGCCAGTAAAATAGATAAAACCCATTCATCATTGCGAGGGTGCTCTCATTGTTGTAGAGCAAGTGGTTTTTGGTGAGTGTTATGTTTGCAGTACAATACATCAAATAAATGGTAAGAGTCTAGTCGATGTAATGAAAGCCTCAAAAAGGTCATCTTCAAAGCAGCAGCGCACTGCAGCTCCTTTTGCTGTGAATTGGTGAATAAAGGTGAACTACAAAGCATTGGCCTTTTTATGTTGATGAGGCTGCAACCTCAAGAGCCCTAAGGAGGTTAGATGGATTAGTATTCTCTGGTAAATTACTTCAGACATTTCTTTCTATAGAGGCACCAAAACAAATAGAATATCAACTAATAAAACATGATTTTTCACCAATGACAAATGACTGGCTGGATATTCACAGCATCAATGTTGTTCAAACAGCGAACACATCAGACTAACAAGTTTTTTCTGACAACAACGCCAAACTGTAAGGAAATTCTTAGTAAAGCAGGAAGAACCGATGTTAGCTGTTCTTGGTCTTAATAAGATGTTTAAGGATGAAACCAGAAGCAGAGCAGAGATGCAAGAAAACACTTAAAAGGGAACAATAAGTCAAAGTTCAAGTGGTTCACTCAGGCTGTAAGTAAATGAGAGAGAGTAAGAACTTCAGCAGATAACAGCAAGGTTAAACAGCATACTAACGAACTGCTAAATTAAATCTTCTTGAGGTTCCAACCTCTGCCTTTATGATATTCAATAATGTGAAAGCTTGGAGCTAGGTCTGGGCAATATGGCTTAAAAATGGAATCTCAGATTTTTAACTATCAAATTTCATTTAATGATTATTTTACTTCAATAAATTTTATAACAAAAATGGCAAATGATATAAACTACTTTCAAAAACTAGCTTTTATTTCAATCATTCTTTTCCCCCTTTTTCATGTTGATGAAGCTGCAACCTCAGGAACCCTGAGGAGGTTAGCTGGACTAGTATGATCTGCTAAATTACATTAGATATTTATTTGTAGAGAGGCACCAAAAAAATAAAATTTTAACTAATAAAATATGATTTTTCAACCCTGAAAAATAACTGGTTGGATATTCAAAACTTAAATAATGAAATTCTTGTGCATAGAAAATTTTATACATCGATTTTATCAGTAAATCAACCAGCCCTACTTGGAGCCTTTTGAAAAGTCGGGGTAAAAGAAAGAATACACATGGAGTCTGCTATTTAGCTATGTTACCAATCACTACCTGGGAAGATGGTGGCTCAGATAACTGCTGTGGTTCTTGCTCCTTATGATTTTTTGTGTTTTAAACAAATTATAAACATTATAGCCAGAACACACAGGCTTAAAAACTGCTTCCTCCGACAAAGCTGTAAAAAGCAATCGCCACACCTCATAGTCAATTTCATGACCAATGTCTGTTCATAGGCTGCAACATCCCCATGTACATATTTTCATACTTCTCCTCAGGAATGTTTTTTAGCTAGTTATCCACTTTTGTTCTCGATGTGTCTTATAAATTCCATGTGTTTTAATCTTTTTTGTCCGTGTTCTATTTATGTGAATTCCAGGCCGAGTGTCCGGCAAATAATTCCATTATGGGTTCCAATGAGTATAAGATTTTCGATTATGAATTCTATAAAATGCTGAAAACAATTTATATTGATAAGTTTTTTGCCTCTGTACACATGGACCGTTTCACATCACCCAACCTCCTAAAACATATTAAAAGACTAGTTAAGGGATGGAACCAAGAGAAAACATTAATTTAAATTTTTATATCCTTTTATATAAAATAAAGAAAACAGGAAATGACCAAACTTGGTAACTGCAGGTCAAAGCTCCACAAAACCAGTAGTTAAGAATATAACCATCAAAGTTCCAAACCTGTACAGCGAACGTTTTTACCAGACATGCATTGATAAGATTATTGCGACATTGCATGACTTAACAGTAAACACAGTGAAAAGTATTTATTTACAGACAGTTGAATGATTCCTATTAGCAGAACACGAATCATGCTGAGCATGCTGCTGCATTTCTGCAACAAAGGCATGAGTAAGAATATACGGGGCTGCAGAGTGGAAGCAGTGTTACCTTGGTTAGGTTACTGAGGGATAGGTACTGCGCTGACAGCTGAGATACTCTGTGGACGAAGCCCTTTCCAGCTGCTTGTCCCTCCCAGAGATGATGAGCTTTATCCCTCAGCCTGTCCAGCTCTACCTCTCGACTAGCCATCTCCTCCAGCACAGACTTTACAGCGTAAGAGGAGGGAAGGTAAAAGAGAGACGGAGCAACGTGATGTTAGTAGTTCAAGTTTGAGAGTGACAGATTGCAAAGGAGTCAATATTAGCTATGTTATATTAAAAAAAGTGCTTTTTTTTTCTCGACAGACACATGAGGAGCAGAGTGGGATGCAGGATTGAGTGACAAAAAAAAAAAGTAACATAACCATTTCAGAACATAGAAAACCATAATGCAAACATCAGCAAATGTTCCGGTAGATGTTCCCCTTTAAAATAGAAATGCTGTGATCCATTTGGACACCGCCATACAGCACAGGGAAAAATCTGAAGGTGGGGGGTACTGTAGTGACAGGATAAAGAGGACCAACACAGGTACAAACACTGTAGCCTGCAAGTATTGTATTGTATTGTATTTCAGGTGCTGCGAGGGGGGGGTGCAGAAATGTAATTACTGGCAGGGACACACAAAAGGCAACGATGGGAGGTGTAGCAGCAGCAGAACAAATACAAAAATAGACACAATGATAAGCACAGTGCTTTGAGATGGGCTTGATATAGTTTTTCTATGTTGTCAATTTTATCTCTTTGATGCTTCGTGCCTCTCTTCTGCTCCTGTATCTGCCAGACACTGTTATCGCTTCTAGAAAAAAAGGCCTTTTAGCCACGCAGCACTTCAGCTCTGACAGAAAGGAGAATTAATTAGATTTCTGGACTTCTCCTCTGACTATTGTGTCAAGATGCAGCTCTATTTTGATCCACTGGTCCTCAGCTAATGTAATTAGGTCCTTCTTTTGCTCCCTAAGGATTTCAAATTGGTACTTTAGGGATTCATATCTAATGGAGAGGTAACCATTTATTACCCTACTTAATATTCACTTTGTGTTGTAAAGACAAGGCTTGTTGAAATGAAAACAGGAAATGAGAAAATACCAGGGATACCAGCTTGAAAGAGAAATATGAAAAGCTCCCTCTCTGTATAAAACTGTTTCAGATGCATTTGAATTAATAATGCCCTCAAGATATATGAAATGAATTGTTGCAGGAGTGACCATGAAATGATGCAAAACTAACATATGGCCTCATGAATATCCAGAATAATTATAACAGTAATGTAATTTTTGTGAAAACTGTAATGCATCAGAGAACATTATTCAAGCAAGTGTATGAAAAGGACTTTGGGCGACAAAACACCTGCAGTTTGCTGAGCTCCTGTTTCTTAGTCGGAAGGTCGTGCAGGCGGGCCGTACTCTCCTGGACTCTGGACTCTGTGCTGTTGAGCCAGTCTTGTAGGGGCTCAGCACTGGCTTCAAACTCAGACATCTGAGACTGAAGGTTCTAGAAAATGTAGCACAAGCACAGAAGTGTCTCACTGCACAGGAAACATATATCCATTATACTCTGAAATGAAATCTGCAGGGTTGTCCTGATACAAATATTTCATATTCAATATGATACAGATATTGCAGCTTTGAGTATTAACCGATACTGATGTTGAGCTAATACGAATAGAAGCAGATGGAAGGAAAGTAATCATATCAGTTAGCTTATATCTGAAATTTTAGATTAAGGCCATCATATTCCGATATAAACCTTTTAGCTCATATCAGACATCCCCATTATTTATGTAATTGAAAAAAAGAAATACATCTAAAAAGAGTTTAAAACTGAACATTGTAGTGTGTGTTTACATTCAGCCTCTTTAAATCTGTCTTTTTATCTAATAAAATACGTTAGACCAAAACACCTTTAGTTTCCCCCTGATTAGTACATGTATGTATATAGATCTCAGTATAAGCACAGCTGTATTGTGAAGGTCTCAGATGCCTGAACATTAGTGAACAAACGAAATTACAAAGATTGGAAAAACATAGCATACAACAACAGCGACAAACAAAGAGAAGTTTAATAAAATAAGATAGCTTAAACTATCTACTGCAAATGAATAGTTTTGCAGAATTAAGATGACCAGCTTAAATGAGTCTGGGCAAAAACAGCATTTATTCCAAGTGGTAGCCAAGAGGCCCTTAGCAACACTGAGGGAGATTCAACGATCTAAAGACCAGGCAGGGGTGTCTGGTCACAAGACAGCTATTAATTGTAAACTGCATAATTCTGGCCTCTGTTGAAGAAATAGAAAGAAGAAAGTATTTGATGAAAGAAAAAGTTTGCCACAAGCAACGAAGGCCAGAGAGTAATCAGAAGAAGGATCTCTGATGAGATTTAAGTAGTCGCCTTAAACACCATAGCTCAAATTAAACAGGGTGGTGGTTGTATAATACTGTGGGGAGGTTTTCCATTAGTGGGTACAGAGTTTCTGCAACTGAGTTAAATACATTGCACTGCTGGGATATAGGATGCAAAACACTACATAAGCCTTGAGACTTTGCCGGAATATCATGATCCAACAGCTCTATACATACAGCATACTAAGGTAATGGTTGGATCAAAGAGTTTCAAGGCCTAGTGAAAGTACCCAGCTAAATCTAACACAAAACATGTGACATAAATTGGATCATTCTGTTAAGAAGAAACTACATTGTTTTGGTCTATTGTTGTAATCCTAATAAACACATTGAAGGATGTAGCTTTCATGAAAAAAAGTCAAGGGGTAGGAGTACTTTTTGAAACACTATTGGAAAATATTTTAGCATTAGAAAAATCTCAATGTATTGCACAAAAATTGCACAAACGTCTATTCTGAGGTGGAAATGAAATAAATTACCCTGATGGTCTGCATTTATTTCAAATGAACAGCAGATTTTCTTTCTTGAAGTCATAATCAAAGTACGCTGGCACCCAAATAGAACCAACCTTGAGAGCATCTTCCCTCACTTGCAGGTTACTCATTAGGCTCTTCCAGTCCTCCCGGGCATTTGCCACCTTGGCCTTGATTCCCTCCACTCTATCTTTGGACACGACGGCCATCAGGAGCTCCCCGCTGGCTCCAACTGTACTGAGTCTGGCCTGGCCGTTCTCCCTGTCACTCAAGAACTCCTGAAGGGATGCATAAAGAAAGACAAAGGAACTGTCACTGTTTATACAAAAGGAGGGTGGTGTGTAAGGGAAATGAAAGAAAAATTGACTGAATGATAACTTATTCAGTTCCTTTTTTAAATATTTGTTGATATACTTTGTTAATCTTTATTTGGAATTTCAGGACATATATTGGGAAGTTGAAGACATTAGCGGTTCTCCTTGCAGAAGCACATCGATGCTATCAGAGATGAGCAAAGTCAGTGACCCTGAAAGATGTTAGTTTCATACATAGCTACCCACTGACAATGTAAACGCATACAAAGGCACACACGCAGCCTCCGCAGCCACCCCTCCCTCAGAGCTGAGCTGATGACAGTCGCGCAGCAGGGACGGCTCCACCATCTGTGCAGTCAGCACATCGCTAACAGAGACTACCGCTACAGCCTCTTCAAACATGAGCTCGGAAAGTCTTTATCTCTTTATCGCTCGCTTTCTTTGTTTAGTCTGTCTGCTCTACATTCATTTACCACCTAACCACTTACCACCATTCTGAGCCCGCTAGTGTAACTGTACAACACCAATTAAGCATGACACAGTGGATGCCCTGCGCCCCTCCCACGCCGACCCTCCTGGAGGTCAGCCATGTGGAAACATTGTTCCACATTCCTCACCAAGTCAATAATAAATAAAACATGATTGATTCAGTATTCCTCTATCCTCCATATTCTCCCCTAAAGATGTTTTTTAAACTGGTAAAAATATTGAAAGGTAATTCTTTAGACGCATCTAGATGGAAAAATATGATCTTTTAAAATAACTGTCTTTGACATATCGGCGTTCTTAGCTTACCTTATCCTGTGACCTCGTGCCTGCTAATTAAATTACTCATGAGGGTAAAATTTCACCTTACCGTCTTCAAACCAGAGTTAAGCAGTAGGAGAAACACCACTTCTTTGATGCTTTCATAATGTGTGTGGATTTGGTCAGGCGACTGAGAGTTAATTAACTGTCAGGTTCCAGGTATGTGGAGGCGTCCACCTCAACTGATAAGCTCCTGAGTCTGAGCCAGAACCACGATGCGCTCTAAGGAAGCTCCCAGATGTGCCAAAGTCTTCCAGAAATATTAAAATTGGACTGCAATGGCACAGGGACTTGCTGCGAAGCCCTTCTTCATCTCTTTAAAGCACATTTACACATTTCTAACTAATTGCAGCTAATAAAAGTCCCAGCAGTTTAACAAGCACACATGAGGCTAGTTTAAAGGAGGCATATTCAAATAGTCATCCCTGTGAGTAAGCTGCTATTGAAAGTGGATTGATTACACATTGATTACATCATTATTCCTCTCTTTGTAGAGCTCATATTGCACACACTGTTAAATAAAGCACAGCTCTAGCATGTAGCCAGCAGCAATCAATTTGCAGCGTTGTCAAAGTTTCTGATCTTCTCTAAGTATTGGAGAAAAATACTTGCAGCTGGTTAATTTAATGCCACCAGACTTTAACATCAACAGATATTGATTGAAACTATAACTGCTACATTCAAGCTGACTGCTAGTTCATAGCAGTAACAACAAATGGTAATGTTTTGTATCTGCTTTCCAGGCTGTGGGTCAGTGATCTCTGTCCTACAACTCACAAATGCTAAACAGGTTATTGAATATTTAAATTTAATATTCATTATTCATACAATGATCAGTTTTTTTTATTTTCTGTGCACTGCATATTTAACATGCAGACAAACAAAATGCAGACAAACAAAATCAGTGCAATAATTGAATAGTTTAAAAGAAGTATATTTAAATTCTGCATGCAAGACTTGGAGGTAATAAAGTACATATAATTACAAGAAAATGCTGCAATGTTTCCCGATTTGCTTACTTGGATTCTCTGCAAAGCGGTGGAGACCTCTGTGACAGTCTGCGGCACATCAAAGCATTTGGCGGTACTGATTTTGGCATTGACCAGCCATTGTTGGAAGTCTCTCAGCGCTGCACGGAACCTCTGCTCCAACAGGCGCTCCTTATTTTGACACTCCCGGGATGCACGGAGACTGAGGCTGCGGGGAAACAAGAGAGAAAAATCTTTAACATGTTGCTCACGGGCTGCAATCTTCATGGGGAAGTTTTTTTTTTTTTTTTTAAGGGAAGCTAAAAACAGAGAAATTGCTGTTTATTTACTCCATGTTCATCAAAAGAAGGACCATGTGCGTATCTATCATATTGTTCAAGCCCAACAGAGGAAAGGCATGTGGTTGTTTATGAGAAACCTCCAGGTGGAGAAATGGCAAAGTGGGTGAAGTGGAATGAACGAATGCTGGGGCAAGGAGCGAAAAATGGGGGATGGTGGAAAACGGGCATCACATGGGAGGGGGGTGAGAGGCAACATATGACAGGGGCAAGAGTTCACAGGGGTGACATGATGGCGAGAACGAGGCATGACAGCCTGCTTCTGTAAGAAAACGTGTGAGATAGAGGTGAGGAAGTAGAACTTAGAACGGCCTCAGGTTCATTGTTCTTTTGTTAAAGAACAAATAGAGACATAAATAAAATGAAATTCTGCAAGTTGAAGACTTGCTCTGGATATACTGTAAAATACTTTAACTATATATATATTTAAATATATATATATATATATATATATATATATATATATATATATATATATATATATATATCATTCTTCAATATGGATATATCTATAATGTAAAAGAAAAAAACGTATTTACTGAATAAAATTGTAAGAAATGATCTGCATGGGTTAGTATTTGGTCCAATGCCTTTAAGTTAAAGTGTTATTTAAAAAAAAAAAAAGATGAAATGTTTTGTAAGGTAGACCAATGCCAGTCATTGGTTTTGGTATTGCAGCTCTTTCCATCTGTTGAGAAGTCCTTCCCATGTTCTTAAACATTAGGCTTCCATCACAAAATTTTCCACTATTTAGGCATGCAAACAACTGCATCAATGATCAGTTATGTGAAATCAAATCCAGTCAGCTCGCTAAAGTTACAACTCTTTTAACAAAATGATTCATTAAAAATAAAATAAAATGCATCAATATAACATTTAGCGTTGTGCAGAGCAAAAATATTAATTTAATTGAAAAAGTATACATTAAACTCTCATAAAAATAAAGCTCTTAAAACTATGTATGCCCAACAATGGTATAATAATGCTCCCAAGTAGTCAAATAATTGGCATTACGAAGTGTGGTAGGGGAGAGAATCTTTGCTAGAAGATATGTGAAGTGTAGCATGAGACTGAGACTTGTTATAAAGGAGATTGCTGCAACATTCAGTAGCGCTTGTATCAAATCACTGATGATGAAATCCGTAAGAACATGTAATAATCATGCCAGATTTCCAGATGATCCATCATGTCCAAATGAAAATACATCAGCTGAACACACATAAAACATGTTTTAATGCATTGCTGAAGCATGATATATATTAAACTCAATTCATCTTCTTAAGGCAATTAAATGCAACACATGTGGAAGTGAAAAATGGCTAAAGATATATCTATATAGTAATAAGAATGTCAACAAGTATGGAAATTAAAACCTCAAGTGAACCCAAAATGCAAATTAAAGGTAAAAATAAAGAATAAAAATATATATTTTTTACATCTTACCCATATTATTGATTTGTTATCAATTGAGCCATGAACTGAACATGCAAAAAATACAAACATACCAATACAAGTACATTTATATCTATATAATTGTTAAGTAAACTTTTTAAGCATCCTATATACATGGTATCAAAATGACTTTCTGTATTTTGTACAATACACTAACATGAGTATCGTTTACAAGCAAAAGAAAGCAGTTTACAGTAGATTGCTAACAATGATATATAGAAAAACAAAAATAAAAATCTCTACCATTCACCCCTAGTGTAGATTAAAGTAGGTTATCAAAGGGGGGAGACTGCTGAACAGTAGATAAGAGGTGGGCAGCTGTTTAACCATACTCTAGAGTCCACAGGGAGATGTAAAAAAACAAAAGGCAAACACCTAAATGGACACAGAAACAACCTTGAGTTTTAATGGAGTGATGAGAGCTTGAACGGCATGTCTGGAGGAGGCTGTTTTTTTTTTTTATGTGGTGACAGACAAAATTTGGTTTGTGCTACAAAAAAAGGAGGCAGCTTGCTCCTCCATCTTCATCCTTGGACTCTTCTTTTCCTTTGTTCATTCTTCTTTTCAGAGCTTAATTCAGGGCAGGTGCAACAAGTGCACAGGCCAAGTCAGTGTCAGGCTGACAAGCGACACAATTATTGAAGCTTGTGCTTGCAAATCGACGCTCCAACAAAATTCAATGCAGAAGCATTTCAGGCAAGTTTACCTCAGCTCGTTCTTTTGTTATTTCATGAACACACCCTAACATTTAATCAAAAAAGACTGAAAATATATGAACACTACCTTTAATTAATTTTCTGCACATCAGATAATGCTTGTGCATTTTTCAGTGAAGAACTCTGACCACAGAGTAACACAAACACAGTAAAGAAAATGCTAACATGTCACTTAGCAAACAGTGGCTCTACGGCTTCTATCAGTCTTTGCCAAATTAACATCATACACACATCTCTGTGATGAACACATGGGCTCACTACTTGTGTACTGTCACCAGCATGCAGGGAACCTGTTATGTGCATCTTTTTTGTGCAAAATTATTACTGCTGTTTTTCCTCTGCTAAGCTTGAATCATTTGCATTCAGTTTAGTTAATGTGGGAACTCTTCATCCGGTAGCACCCAATATAAATGCAAACAACGGTATTACTGGCTGTGATACTAATACTGAGAACAGAAGAAAGTGTGACAGATAACATCTACTCGGCACTACATCTGTTTGATTTTGACAAAAAAAAGAATTAAGATATTCTTGGACCAAAATTGGGATTGCTTTTTTTACTTTGATTTTCTCTATGCAACCATATCCATCTTCAGCTCTAGGGATTCAAGGCTTTAAATAAGGGTATACATTTTGTGCTCAAGCCAATGCCAAAACTAAGCTCAACCTGAACCTGGGTTGAGTTAGGTTTTGATATTACACATGAAAGTCAGGTCAGGCTGTAAGATTTTTCATTCTCATGCAATATAAAATCAGAATTCCCGGAATAAAAGGAATACTGATTCTGATTATCTATTTAGATGTAATGGATAATAACATGATTGCATCGTATAAAAAAGAAGACTAGCACTTTAGTTGTTTTACTATTTTGTGAAAAGTGACAAAGTTGGGTCCAGTAGGTAATACACCCAAGCTGGGAGCTTGGGTGTATTACCAAGCTGTGATACATGACACGCACATCTGGGCCAGACCCACCCTGTGTTAGTGCTTTCTGTGAGGTGCACTGTTCTTGCTGAGTGGGGCTGAACCTAACATTCCTTAGGTGCAAAGTCAGGACATTGGTTTGGATCTTACAGATTGGCTGTGTCGAATAGCAGTAATACTTTAAAAAATATATATATATTCTCTATGTTGGATTTTCTTTGGGCTCAGGCCAAAAGTTTAAGTGTGTTAGTTGGGCTTTGGTCAGGTCTGAGTTTATTGATTCTGATTTTTACTCAACCATAAATGCTCTTCCATCCAAAGTTCACTGACGCAGAACTTGACTGTTGCATGGAAGAATGCTTACTTCTAGCTCACATGCATGGATTTGCGCAATAGTGCAATTCTTCTTTCCCTTCTGTGTGGCAGACCCAGTTTAGGCTGATTACCAATAACTACACTGCAAAAACTGTAAATCTAAGTAAGTCAATTTTCCTAAAATAAGTTCATTTTTTTCTTGAATTGAGCAGTTAAGTGAGACACACTTAATAAGACAATAAGACAATTTACATTTAAAATAAGGAAAATCAACTGCATTATTTTATTTCAAGTGCATTATATCTAATTATCTTATTTTAAGAGTAAATATCCTCATTCCATTGGCAGATCATCTTATTCACCAACTCAAATTAACACAATTATTTGTCCAGCCCTACACTTAGTTTGTTGCTTTTTGAATACAAGCTACCATTAGCAATCCAGTGCAGCTGCTTTATACCAAAGCTAGAACAGTGGCACCCGACTAGCTAAGAGATATTGTAGCCAATGTGTTCACAGTATTTTTCTTACTGGTTTTGCAATAAAGTTTTATCAATTAAATCATATATGAAAGATACAGTGTGTTATCTGTATGTAGTTAGCAATGGTTCACAGAACCAATAAGAGAGCCCACTTTAGAAATTAAATGAAAGCTTAAACACAGCTTTAAACACACACCCAGCAAGAAGGTTTTGGGTTCAATTCTTGGCCCAGGGTCTTTCTGCATGGAGTTTGCATGTTCTCCACGTGCATGGGTGGGTTCTCACCGAATACTCCAGCTTCCTCCCACAGTTTATAAACATGAGTGTGACAACCCTGCTACTCACTGGCCTGTCGAGGGTGTACCCCGCCTCTCGCTCATAGACTGCCAGAGATAGACACCAGTCCTCCCGGATGGATGGATGGATGGATGGATGGATGGATGGATGGATGGATGGATGGATGGATGGATGGATGGATGGATGGATGGATGGATGGATTGAAATACAGACTAAGTGCATCCATCACGAGATACTAATGTGTTTTCACTTTTTGGGTGACTCCATCAAGTCTTTGTATAAAACTAGACATGCTAGAAAGATGACAGCTAACATCAGTTAGTCAAGACAACAAAGTAGTAGGTCTTTTGCAGGACAAATATCTTAAAGGTATAGTGGAGGATGCTTTTTTTTACAGGTTGATCATCAAAATGATCCTCCTAATTGTCAATCATTCTGATATGTTTACGTAAGGCAGTCCTAAGTGCTCGTCCCCATTTTTTAATTACCAGTGGTGAGTCTGAAAGTGGAAAAATTGCAAATCTTCTTCTGGAAACTAAGCTTGTATGAGCGATGCAAACAGCAACTTTTAAACAGAGTGTGCACGAGGAGAAATGGGTACAGGGTTGTGCATGTGCATTATTTTTTTCTTTAAGTGGAGAGGGCGGTCTTGTCAAAAATTTATCAAGATCCTCCACTACACCTTTAATGCTGCACTGTTATGGTAATGGAAATGAAACACGTCCACCTAGAATATAGTTGGTAACCATGGAGATTGAACCATGGATGGTAGACAGACATTGCATCAAAATGCGCTTTGAGAATCAAATGATCAAACAGGTAATCTGTCTTTCTTAAATTCTAACACTCATCATCCAAACAAAAAACAAGAGCAAAAATGCTTTGCATTTAAAATATATAAATCTAATTAGATGATGATATACAATACATACTTGCCATACTTGTTAATATTGTACATTTCTAGACAGCTAATAGCTTATCAGTTCCTCCTTTGCAGGTATCTTGCGCGGTAAGTCAGTAAAAAAAATAGATCCAAAATGTTATAAAATGATTAATAGATATTACATATAAACACTGGAGGTTTATAGCCATATAAGAAATGTCCCGAAATGTGCGATAGGCTACCTTTTTCATAGGCCAGTGAAACTATGAAAAACAGTACGATGTACATAAAAGGATTTTCTGCTACTTGGTAAGTTGCAGAAAAACACATGGTCTTACAAAATACTTCATGGAAAAGTAGAGCATGAGCAATAAAGCAAAACCAATACAGTTTAGATTAGATGGGGATCGGATCAAATTGTCCCATTGTCAAATGGGCTTTGTAAAATATATTAAGTATCTTGTTTTTTTCACTTTTTACTTAAAGAGATATTTTGGTTTTTACTGAAAAAATCTTATAGAAAGCCTTTTTATTTTACAATTTATGACGAAAGACTGACACCTCAGTAGTTCAGCGCCGATGCATTTATGAGCCTGTAGCCCATTATCATTGAATGTACTTCAGGTTGGAAGATTGCACCCTGTTCTGCGGATGTGACATCAAGAGGGACCATGTTAAATGGGTCCAATCTAGCAAACAATCGTATCGCTATATTCAAGACGGTTTTTGTGGATACTCGGAAGCGACAGACATCCAGCTTATCTCCGACACCAATGGCAACTCCAAATAAGGTGAAAAAGAAGACAAAAATCCTTACGTACGAGGTGGTACTATGAGAACAAGCAGAAGAGTGCTGCAGTTCTCTGTTTTGGCCACAGGTAGCAGTATCATTAGAAAACTGCGTAATGCCTCTTTAATAGGCAATCGGCATCCTTTTTAAAACTCCCTCTAAAGTTCAGTTGGATGCATTGAAAAAAAGAAAAACAAGACATGGAAAAAAATACAGAAAGTAAATGCTGTGTTTCACCGAATTAAGGATTCCATGACATTACTGTAACTCACCTATACACTATATTACTGTTGAATAATACAATACTGATTGTGATTAAACCATATTTTCCCATCGTCTTCCAAACCATGAGGTCCAAACAACTCTCCCTGAACTTTAGCATCTTGATGACAAAATCAATATCGGATGCGGAAATGAAAGCTGGTTATAATAACCAAGTAATGAACAATGCAAGTTTCAATGATAGGGACCCGTTATATACCAAATATTCAAACTAAGCTCTTCTTTTCAATTAGAATACAGAACACATTGTCATTACTATGAGTGATTACTATGCTTACTATTATTTAGTATTTTAATATACGTAGAATTAGAGTCACTTCTCAATGGCATATTGATGATGAGCTTTGGTGCTTTGGAGCCAAACACATACATGCATACATGTTTATAGTCCTTCACTTCAACGCCACAGCATGAGAAAACCTCTTCTCACCTGTTGTGCTGTTTAATGATGGCAGTGACTCGGTCTGACTGCGAGCCCAGGTCCCTGGAGTATCGAACCAGGTCATTCAGTTGGCTTTTCAACTTGTCTGCCATCGACTCAGCGCTCTGCAAGTCCTCCAGAATATCCTAAACCATGCAAAACAGAAAGAAGCAAGCTCAGTTTGTCCATGCATGCTGAGGAGAGGCAGATCCAATCCAAAGACCTCAGTCTGTTCATTCCTATTCACACCCTGGCTCAAATCTTTTCACTCCTCTTGTATCCACATACTTAGACGCTCTAACACATACTCACAGTGTTGCTTCTTCAATGGCATTTCTGTTCTTCGAACAGTGTGACAGGAAGGAGCTGTGGACACCGTTCTCCCGCTCTCCTCAGCCTCCCTCACATTCTGCACTAACAGAGTCATGAAATCGTCTCCCATGAAATATGTACAAGCTCTGACTCTCACTCGTTTCTCTCCCTCTCTGACGTATCAAACAACCCTCCCTCCCTTCTCCTATGGACTCCTTGCTCTCTTCTCCTCCTCTCCCTCCTCCTATAAGCTTCTACTACTTTCTCTCTCCGCTCGCCCTCCTCCTACTCATTCGACTTATACCCTCTCACACATTTTCTTCCTCCCTCTACTCCTCTCCCAGTGGAATTCAGCTGTCAGCCCTCACAGACGCAGAAACGGTTCAAACGCACGCAAACAAGCGCGCAACGAAAACACGGCCGGACACAGGAAACAAGCTGCTGGAAGGAGGAGAAAGGAGCGGAGGAGGGGGACGAAAAAAAACTCCTCCTCTGTTCTTTGACAGCCCCACAAATTGAGGAAAGCAGTAGAGAGGAGCGGCAGATGAAGTCTCGGGAGGAGATGTGAGGTTGAGCATGCTGGCACGGCCCTGACAATGAGGAGCAATTGTCAAACTGTAAACATCCCGTTGAGGTTGGCGACAGAGCAGCAGGGGAGGTGAGGAGCAGGGGGGATCAAGGCTTAATCTCAGCAACCAAAAAAAAGAAAAGACTGCTCCTTTTATTTCCAGCAAGATGAGTTAAGATTGAGGGAAAACAAAATAACAATAAGGGTAAGTGTTTGGAGAGGAGAGATAGGGGGAAATAATGGCAATAAAAAACAAAAACAGGCAGATATGGGAGGAGGCAGAAGACTATAGGAAACTGATGGGATTGTAGCTGTCATTATTTCCTCCCAGTTAAGCTGATGTGACAAACTAATCTGTTTTTAGGGTTTAGTAATAGAATGGGTAATTACTCCTGGATGAATGCAGAGGATTTATACAGAATGTGTCTACATGTTTGCCTTTTTATTAAACAATGTTAATGACTTTCTCTGCATGCATACAAACATTTTAACATTCCAGTCAGTTTCTTTTTCTAAATAAACTATTGTTTAAGGATGAGTTCAGATTACCATGAAGACTATTTAAACATATATTACCTTAGCCATCTTCCATCCCTCTACTGCATCTTCACCGCTGCTCCATCCCTCAGCCTTAACCAGCTCCTGGTTCCACTGCCTCAGACGTCCATCAAACTCTTTCAGCCTTTCCTCAAGGCAGGCGGTTAGATGTTCGTACTCTTCTTCTGAAGCTTCGGCAGCAGCCAGGGCCCCCTCCAGGCCATCTCTGGCCCTTAGGGCAGCTCCCTCCCACTGCTCCAGGGCGTGTGACAGCGCCCCCAGCTGTCTGTCCATGGCCTCGCAGCCCCCCGCCGCTGTATGCTCCGCCGTGGCCGCCGCGCTGCGTCGGACCCGACTGAGGCGCTCTCGGCCCTCCAGGAGTCGACACTTCACACGCTCCTGGAGAGAGGGAAAGGAAAGTTGCTAGGGAAACTGTGGCTAAGGAAACTGCACTCTCAGGATGCGTGGTCTGTGTTTAAAGCTGTGGAGCTTTTCTCTCATGTCTCCAGCTCCATCTATTTTTATCATCATGTCTGAGTCTTTGATTCCTCCTGCTCTTCATCAGTCCTGATTATTTTCCTTCTGTCATTTCTGGGATGTTTCTGGGATGCTTGACCCCCCCACCGCACCCCACCCAGCATCTGCTTTTAAGTGAAAAAAACACTTTAGAGAGATGAAGAGCAGCCAGTGACAAAAAGAGCATCCGATCAGTGTGAGAACAGACAGTTAACAGCTTTAACTTTGTACCTACAAGACATCAAGTCTCCAAAATGCTTTATCTACTCTATAGCTCAGTAAACACACATTCATAATGTGATAATTAGGACCCATGTGAAAAATCTAAATGCAAATCAATGTCTCCCCACATATTTTCTCACCACAGTAGCTGAGAATTATTTAACAGACAGGAGGATTAGTGCTGATTTCTGCTTGTAAATTAATTAGCAGTAAATGGTAGCAAAAAAAAAACAAAAAAAAATAGATACTTGGCACTGATATGAAAAAACAAACATAAAACCATTACATTTTCCGCCTGGATTTATTTTCTACATAGAAAGAGTTTCATATGGTTGCTTTATCATAAACGTTACCATTTTTATAGGAATAATTTTGAGCATACATTTCCTATAACTTAGCTAAAGTATGCATTTTTTTGAAATATATATATTTTTTATATCTATGCTCATTAAGCTAAATAGACTAATCTGACTTCCTGGGGATATCCTGATGCATTGAATTGTTGTGTTTTCTAATAGATAAAATATATTGTTCTAATTTAACTAGTTTTACGGGAGAAAAAAATTCTACAAATATTAGCAACAGCATTGCTGTCACTATCTACTTTAGGAATCTACTTAGTAGGGAATCAATTTTTTGTGAGAAACAAAACTGGCATGTAAGGGGTTTTAGTATCTTTAAACACATTATTTGTTATGGAATGAGAAATTTAACAGCAGCATTATTATCCTAATATCCTTGATAAGGATTTTGTGCCTGAGGAAAGAAGCTGGAACATTTTTTTTTGTTGTTTGCAGACAAAAAAGTACCATATGTTTTTGAACCAGTGCTGCTGCCAATTTCTGACACTACCAAGCAAACCTAAAAAGAAAAAGGGGGGGGTCCCGGATGGCCAACCGAGTGATTTTACAGGCAATGTGAGGTCAGGTTGTTGTAAAGTAAGGACATTTTCTCTGGCCTTACAAAATATTTTGCCAGGGGTTAAGTTTAGAGCTAAGGTGTGAATTGAGTTTAGATAAGGGTTAGGATGAGGTGTGCACCAGTTATGGTTAGGTTAGGGTCCTTTTAAGGTTAGGCCATAGAAAGCGTTGAAAATGACTGAAAACCAATTCAAGTCAAAGGGAGCCAACATTGATCCTCACTACAGATAGCAAGACATGAATGTGTGTGTGGTGATTCAGATTTTATACACAGGTTTGAGATTACAGCTGAATTCCCTAAAGACATAAACTTTAACACTTTTTAATGGGTGCAAATTACAAAAACAACAGTCAATCCAAAAATCTGCTATGCTTAACTTGCAGACAAAAAGTCATCTGTTTAATTAAGTAGTGATTATTGGATGCATAACAAAGCAAAAACGTTGCTGATAATGCAAGTTGGATTGTAAATTTAAAGACGTATGTCACCTATTTCCAACCCTTGTAGAATATTAACTGTAGGTTACCAACATGTTGGCCAGCTGATACTTTGGCCAAAAATAGTTTTTTTCTGTTTTATCGACATTTGCCAATATGTGCAAAGGTTTGCTGATTCATAAATGAATTACATCACGTGAAGCACATGCATTGACACTCCCTACATTCGATAGCCTTTTCCAATGGTTTGTTTGATTTGTTAATAAATGTTTCTCTCTTTATTTCATTTTGTATTCATTTGGTTGTATAACATTTGTTATCATATCAGGAAAAAAATAAATATCAGCTCCAAGAATCACCCAAAAACATTGGTAATACATATTGAGAGTTGGTTAGATTAAAAATAATTGGTATCTGCGTCAGTTTAAAAAACGGTTTTGGTCGATCTCTATTTTCATCTACAATCATATTAACACAACAAAACTAAATACACAAATAAAAGGAACAGACAAATATTGTCTTTGTTTTCATGAATTTGTAAAAAGTTATTTTAATCTTACAAGATCTTCATTATTCTACAGCTACTGCCGATTAAATAATTCAAAATGCTTCAGAAAAACCTTATCCGAAGGTGATATTTCCAATAGTTTATTTTTAAGAAACCCATCTTGGCAGTAGAAACAACTTGGAAAAGTAAAAGCCTCTTCAAAACAAAATTATTAGGTGGCAGTGGTTCTTAGAGGATTTTAACCGATTTTTACTGAAATCAAGTTAAACAATGTCAAATTAAATTCATTTAAACTACAGATGTGCATCTTTTAAGGTGTTGAGGTGCTGAATGGATACATGAGGATTTGTAAGTCTTTAACTGGATGAAGAAACAACATGTTATTTGCCTTAAATTTCATAAAATCCAGGTAAAATTATGGATCAAATACTTAATGTGTAGGTCGTAAACATTGTTTTTTCTGTATTCACACAATTATCTCTATCCCCATGAAGGTAACTCTAGAGGTTCTTTCTTTCAACATCAATATTTCTTGAATTTTACCTTTGCATTTATGTAAAGTTGACCCAAATTAGTCTACATTTTTATGGTACTTCAGGAATCTAATTTCTAATCAACAGGTAAAACATCACAAAGAACTCAGTATTGGTATTAGGCCAGTGTAACCCTGATCAGTACATCTCTACTCCAAAGGTAAGCCTCATAACCCTTTTTTTATTTGGCCGTCATGCCTGCCAGACTAAATTTTTCCTTAATTCTAGTTCAAAGACATTCTATTTGCTTTGATTTTTTTTTAATATATATATATATATATATATATATATATTTTTTTTTTTAGAAAAATAAAAATAAATAAAACAGAACTATCAATAGTATTTAAACTATTTCTTTTTAGCATTTTCNCTGATGTCTCCATGATTTTGGTTTGTTTTATATTTTGAGTTGGATTTCTGGATTTCTGCCTCTGCCGCTTTTTGGTCAACAATTAAACCTATCAGAACTCATCCCTGCTTCACTTGTCTCTGCATCTGGGTCCTCAATCAACCTCACCACCCATTGTTGATATATATATATATATATATATATATATATTTTATTTTATTTTTTTAGAAAAATAAAAATAAATAAAACAGAACTATCAATAGTATTTAAACTATTTCTTTTTAGCATTTTCCTCACCTTTACTTCTAAGAGTTTTTTTCTGACAGAGGTAGAGTCTCCTGATGTATCAGACCAATGCTGTAGCTCCTCCCCTGCAGACATCAGCCAATCAGTGAGCTCACGAACAGCCTCCAGATAGTCCTGGTGCTCCAACACCACCACCTGAGCCAGACGAACTCTCTCCTACAAAACACACATACAAAGTTTAAGTTTTCAGATTTCTTTTTTTTTACAGAAAAACAACTAGAAAATGTGAAAAAAAGGTTTTATTCACCTCAACCAAAGCAGTGAGATGATCACACTGCACCTGTAGCTGAGTGCGAGCACCATGATTGAAGCTGGCATCACCTGTCTTCTTATAAAGTTCTCGGGCTTTTTCTTCCAGGCTGGAGAGCGCCATCTGGTGGTCTTCCAGGTCAGCCATTAGGGCTCTGAGTCGCTCTAATTGCGAGGCCTTCTCTCTGGGTCCTGGCTGCGGTGGGAGCGGGGCACACACCTCCCTTTTCACAGCTTCCATCCAGTTTTGGAGCTGAGCAGCACTCTCGAGGTATCCCCCCCACTGAGACACAGTCCACTCTAATCGACTAGAAGGAAAAGACATCTCTGTTTTTATCTTTGACTTCAATATTTGAATGAAAAAACGTGTTCCACATGAAAGAAAAGGGAAACCCTGAAAAACACAATTTACAAGATATGTTTTATGACTTTAAAACATGATCTAAAGATTTTTAGATCCAATAAGATTGTTTATAATCTTAAATCTTGAGTGTATTTTTCTAAATTGTCAGTAGTTCTGGCCAAGTGTTTTATCCTCTTCTATAAGAGGGTTCAAAGACAGACAAAGATGCACACCCATAATTTTCCTTGCCATCTGTCTACCCCACGTGAACAAACAGCAATATCCACACACGGGCAGATCTCCTTCACCTGCTCCCCCTCGCCTCCTGTTCCCTCATTCCCCTTAAAACATAAACACCCCACCACCACCAGTGACCCACTGTTTGCCATCCCCCATTTAGCCTCTAATGAGATCAATTTTTTTCCTAACAGGAACTATAATTGCTCAATTAAATACACACGCAAACCAGGCCATGTGCATGCTAAGGCACGTACACACATGAAGAGGGCAAACTAAGACATATCAATCAGATTTAGAAAACGAGGAATATTTCTCATCATGTATTTACCTTAATGGTAATTAATAGCAATGACACACAATTCATCATGATGAAAACAACAAGCTCCCCACTGTGAGGAGTTTGTTTCACGCAGATGAGTTGTCTCTAAAATCTTTGAATGGAAGGAAAAGAAAAAAAAGATCAAAAGATTTTAAGAAATGTCTTAAGCAACAATATTAATGCCAAGGCACAGCAACCTAGACAATCTTTTATTTCCTAGTGGATCATCTTCTTCTAATTGTCAATCATTCTGCTGATAAGTTTACATAAGACCTTCCTACTCGCTCGTCCAGTTAGCTATCTTTTTCTGCGCATGCGCACTTTCAGGCATATATCTGTGATGAGCTATGGTTTCAGACAGTCTTTGAAGCTGTGGAATCATATTTTTCCTTGGCCTGTTTGTGAGATAAAATGTTTAAAAGCGAGCTTTTTCTTTGCCTGAATCAGGTTGGTTATTTAGAAGCCTGAGAGGTTTCCTCCCTAGTTTAGATAAGAAGGAAAAGTTTTCACTGTGTTCAAAGTTCTCACGTCCTGTTTATGGTATGGATGGGAAACAGTTGTCTGAAGTATTTATCTGACTAAATTTATGTCCTTGATGAACTGAAGAAACAATGTTTATGTCTGTGGAGCCTCTTTATATGCAGGGGTGGGTTGCTGAACACCCCAGAGCCACACTGAGAGCTGTATTCAGCTGTTTTGTGTCGTTCTCCTCTGCAGGGTAAAATACATGTTTTTCTTCCTTGCATATCAACTCTCAGTACTCATTTTTACTTCACAAAGCTCACCTTTCTCTCAGTGGGTCTTTGAAAATGGCCAAGGGTTGTTCAGACACAGTAAGCTTGTATGAGCTATGAGAACAGCAAGTTTTAACAGAGCGTTCACTAGGAAAATTGGGCTCCCTTTCAGGAGTGGGTACAGGGTTGTGCATGACATGTTTTTTTTTTAAGTGGAGAGGGCGGATCTTTTAAAAAACTTTGTGAAAATCCTCCACTATACCTTTAATGTAACCTGCAATAATAGTGTTGCTGAAGTATAAGGACCAAAGGTTTAACGTTTTCTAAAGACTCCAATGTAAGTTTCCCTGTTGAATAAAGGCTGTCATACAGCATGATGCTTATTTTCTACCACATTCAGCAGTCGTATAAAATCCATTCAAATAACCAAACGTTAGTAGTTAAAAAAAATTTATTTTAAGATGCAGGAATTCACCCTGCAGGTGCACCCTGCCACCTGCAGTGGTGCAGTCGGTAGCACTGCTGCCTTGCAGCAAGAAGGTATGATTCCCGGGCCTGGGGTTGTTGTGCATGGAGTTTGCATTTTCTCCGCATGCATGTTCTCCAGCTTCCTCCCACAGTCCAAAAACATGACTGTTAGGTTAATTGGCTTCATTAAATTCTACTTAGGTGTGAGTGTGTGGGTGAATGGTTGTTTGTCCTGTTTGTCTCTGTGTTGCCCTGGGATGGACTGGCACCCTGTCCAGGGTGTATCCCGCCTCTCGCCCATTGACAGCTGGAGATAGACACCAGCACCCCTTGCAATTCCACTTGAGGAAGCGTGACGGAAAATGGATGGATGATGGAATTCCACCTGCAACCGGAGGGTTGCCAGTTTGAACCCCAGCTGTGATTGTCTGAGTCGTTGTGGCCTCGTGGTGTTTGTGTGCAATATCCTTGCTAAAATGTAGCTCAATATGGCTTTTTTAAGGCTGTTTATCCTCCATTGTTTTCAAAGAAACCTCCAAAACATTCACAGAATATATGCTAAGATTTAAAAGATAAAGAGGTGAAGGTGATTTTCTCCTTAAATACAGAAGGTAGCTGTATAGACTGGATTTTATTTATGGGTATAAGCGTAAAAAAAAACTTTGTTTTACCATCATGGACCATTCTCTGTTGATCCTTCAGATAAAATCAAATGAAATCCAGTAATTGTGGTCGTAAAGTAACAAAATGTTAAAAGCTTGAACATGTACAAACAGTTGAAGATGGTGTTTTATGTGGGATACCTGTGGCAGCTCATTGCAGTAACCAATAGCGTGGCCCATGCATCTTCCACTTCCTGCAGCTGAGAGCGGATCCCTTCCTGTCCACCGGCTCCATAGTTACGCAGGGTGAGCTCAGCCTTACCCATCACCATATTTAACTTCACCTCCCCTTCTCCCTTCAAAAGCAGGATGTCCTGTGCAAACAGAGCAGAGTCTTTGGAAACGGGAACTAGACAAAGGATTAAGGCATGTTTTCTAAAACAAACAGCCCCCTCTTGTGTCTGCTGCAATAAAAATGAGTGAGAGCCGTTTGTAAAGACAAACATTTGCATATTGGAAGCAAAGGGGAATTTATATTTTTTTAAACATATTGTTCTCCACTCCCTGTGTCTCACCTGCACAGTCTCCAGTTTCTTCTCTAACTGCTCTTTGGTTCCAATCGTGCTGTCTACAGTACCCAATCTCTCTTGGATCTCCTCCAGCCAGGCCCAAACTCCCTGGAGGGCATCTCCAAAGGCCTGGCTCTCCTGGCAGCCCCGCAGTCTCTCTCTGGCTGCCTTCAGGAGAGCTTGATACTCCATCTGGAGCTGGGCTGTTACTCTGACCTCTTCTCCTGTACCACGGCCGGATTCAGAAAGAGCCTGGGCCTCCAGACAAACACGCTCAATAGACTCCCTAGATAAAAAGAAAAAAAAGCAGAAAATTACTCTGACAGTTGATCTTCCAGCATGTACAGCATATGGCCTTGGGCACCCTCTCCACAAACCTTTGCGCTATCAGCTCTTTATTTAAGTTCTCTATCCTCTGCAGCTCTTCTGTGGGATCGGCGGCTCCTCTCTGGCTCTCTACCACAATATCAGGCTCATTTTTAAGGCCGACCTTCATCTTCTTAAGCCATTCTCTTGTATTCTCCACACAACCATCAAAGCTAACACAGGGACGAGGAAAACAGACATTAGATAAAGATTTTGAGTTGATATGACAGCAAAAGTCAGATAGCCTACTTCTTTAAAAGGTCAATGCTGTCTTTCAGGTCTAGCTGGCTCTGACAGCAGCAGTCCTGGTAATTCTTCCATTCTTTCTGACAGGAAGAAAGACTTTCATGGATCTGTGCTGCTTCGACTTTGCTCAGGTGGAGCTGGAGCTTCCCGGCTTCTTTATGAATCTGAGAGAGACGCTCCTCACCCTCTGACGACTGCTCGAGTGAGATCTGTGGTCGAAGAGAGGAATGAGTTGCTTTAAGACTGACAGTTCTACATTAGTAGAACTAAAAAATAACAAATTAATTTTAGATTAAATTGTTATTGCAATTAAAAAGGTCATGGGGTGTAAATACTTTTCGAAATCATTGATTACACAGAGAGAAACACAGCGTTAGCATGTGAGATTTAACAGTACCTTCAGTCTCTGTAACTTGGCAGTAAGGAGGATGACATCTCCTGATTGATTGAAACAGTCTTTCAGCTCCAACTTCAGCTCTGACAGCCAGGACTTAAAGTTTTGAACAAGCCCTGTTTTGAGGAGAACAGATAGCAGATGAGCTTAAACTCAAAACACGAATAATGCTTTTTGACATTAAAGAATTGTGCACAGCAAAAAAAAAAAAAAAAAGAGGCAGAGAAGATTTAAAAGTCAAAGGAGGAGAAAAGCAAGGAGAGTTAATGTGCTGAGGCAGATGGGAAGTGTGGGCGTGTCCGCAGCATGCAGTGCTTGGCTGCCTTGGCAACAAGCCTATAATGGCTCCCTCGAGAGCGGATGTGACGAAGGCGCCATCGCTCTCCGAGGCACAGGTGTGTGTCGGAGTGAAGAAAGCGTATCAGTGTACCTGACAATATGTGTGGACGGTGTGTGGGTTGTTGTGGGAGGACTGAGTGTGCTCTGGGGAAAAATGAAGGATAATCAACAGCAAATCTGTTGCACGGCTAACATGAAAGAATTATGCTGCATTGAGTAATCTTGTTGTTTTCGATCGGCTGATTATGAGGCTTTAAGAAATGTTTTGAGTCTATTTCTGATTCTTCTGGATGAAGTGATGCTGACTGCTCTATTTGGATGAATTACTGTGTTTTACTGAAAAAAAAACAAAAAAAACAAAACACTCCTCTAACGTAAGTCAATTTTTCAAGTGTCTCACCATTAAAGTGGAGCTGTAATCCTTCCTGGAGGCTGCCCCTGGTTCTGGCACAGCGATGGGCAACAACCTCTGTTCGCTTTGCGATGGAGGTGAGATCAGAGGAAAGGACCAAAAGCTCTTGAGATGGATGTGATCTGCTGAGGGAAGTCAGTGCATCTCTAGCTGAGTCCATGTCTGCCCTCTGCTGCTGCACAACACCCTGCAGGTCCTTCAATAGAAAAAGGGAGAAATCAAGAGTTATGACTGTTGCATTTTCTAAATCTGATTTACTGCCTCTATGCTGCACATGCAATGGCAGTTCCAGAAAACTTCAGAGGGGCGGCCAGGCGGGAATCAATATTTACTAAGGGGTGGCCTAAAACCAATAGGTGTCAAAACCAGTTGGGGATCAATCTATACTGATCATAACGTACCAAAAGGGCAGTGAATGCAAACACCTAGATTTTTCAACTGAAGACAACCCATTTTTTCATGAGGCCATTGATAATAGAGCTAAGTACATATTTATACGCTGGTGCTGTTTACATTGATTTATGGTTCTACAGAAGATGTTTAAAGAGTTGAGCACTTATTTATGTTTAATTACACACAAGACTCCGAGATGCCTGCAGAGACAAACACTCCCCCATAAAACATTCATACTAATTATTTAAATACCATGAATTCTGCAGTAGTCCTGTTTTAATTCTAGCATTTTGTTGTAATTGGCTGTATCCGAATGTCTCCCCTAACCCCTAAATCCCTCAATCCCTATATCGATCTAGAATATGCATTTTTAAAGATTTACCACATGCAAAGTGAATTTCCACATCTGAAATAACTGTGGCCGTGGTTTTTGCATATTTTTTTCAGTATACATCCATTGTAATCATCATTGTTGCCATAGAATAAGTATTCGTACAATGCCAGATGATGGAGAGATTCGTTGTGTGTGTTAACATTTTTGGACAGTCAGAAATAACAACAGTAGAGTAATATTAATAAAGACAAAAAAAAACTTATATACATGTCTGTACAAATTTATAGAGCAGGAATGCAGACAGTCTTTATACGGTTAAACCAATCAAGAAAATAAACTTAAAATATAGTAGAATGTTTATGGAAAATCCAATATAAAAAGAAGGGTTGTTAGGGTGAGAGTAAGTATCTCTTTGCAGCAGGGATTTTTTTCTTGCGACAATTTAATCAAAGAATAACTTTACATAAAGTGCAGGTATGTTTAATTAAATATTTTTTTGCACTTCATAAAATATTTATAATTATAACCTCCATCTCCATGGCTTTGAACCTCATTTTTCTTTTACAGACACTCTCAAACTGCCAGTAGAACACGCACTCTGCTCATTTAAACAGGTGCAACCAAATCGGTTTGCATGTCTTAACGGCAATCTTTGTCATCCACAACATGCCCACAAACAAAACAAATATATTTTGCAATTTAGCACCCTTATTTGAAATACTGAAGATCAAACGCATACTCTGTGGATGTCACAGAGTACAGAGTATGTACTCTAGCTTCTTCTGCTTACAGCTAGCTTAACAACATATAACCCAAGCCGGGAAAAGGCAGACATCATGTGAAAGATGCTCTGAGTGGATTAGATCAAGATGTGGCTTTTTGGGCAACATGTAAAATTAACTCTGAGCGTACAACCCTAAGCATTCTGGTTTTCTGTCATGATCCCCAAATGTATCGATTTCGTTTTTCTTCTGTGCTTTTTTCAGTATTATGCTATTGATTGCGTTTATACATTTAGGTATTTCCATATACGTTCAGGCTTTTCTGCTATTTTACAATTTTTCTCATACTTGATAGTTTCTTTGTGTTTCACCAAGGCTCATGTTGTGTTAATATTTTAGTCCTCCCTCAGCTTTCACACTTTTTCCACAGCTACTCCACATCCCATTGATTGCTATTATAGTTTTCTTGTTATTTCTGTATTTAATTTTCTGTCTTGTCATTGTTGTTTGATGGATTACTCCACTAAATGTCTTGTAATCTCTCTGTGACCTTGACTGATTTCTTTACATGAGGTTCCAAAGTTATTTAAGCACTTTCCTTGAAAGTTTGCCTGTCCTTTCATTCTCAAAGCAATGTTTTCTTGGCCCACCAGTTGAAATAAAATGCTAAATATGGGATATTTTGATTTATTATGCTTACTATTATTGAAAACAACATGTGATGTAATTTCCAAACTCGTGAACTGGTTGTATAGAAGATATACTACCTTTCAAAATATATTGACACCCTTCAAGGTTATCCACATTTTGTAAAAGAATAGAATAGAATTCAACTTTATTGTCATTGCAGGGAACGAACAAAGCAACAAATGAACTGTCTGCATTTAACCCATCCCCTTGGAGAGCAGTGGGCTGCCATTGTGCGGTGCCCTGGGAGCAGTGTGGGGTTAAGGGTCTTTCTTAATTACCTAACCACTAGGCCATGTTCATGTAATGTCTTAAAGCCATGCTTTAATAAAATCAAAGATCTTTTGATAGCTAAAAGGAATATCAATGGAATATTTTATCTTATTGTCTTAAAGAAGCAGTCTTAATTATGCACATGCCCCAAAACTGGAATGAATTAGGATTACCTTCAGTGTACAAATATCTTCAAGGGAACCAGCTTCAGTGAGGTCCGACAAGGACCCTTCCACTGCAGCCAGCCGCTCAGTCATCTGGGACATCAGGTCGTCCAGTCGCTGCTTTTGGAAGTCGAAGTAGGTCAGAGTGTGTTTGGCCTGGTTGTATGCCTCCTGCGCGTGGAACATTTTCTTCCTCAGATCCGATTCTAGAACCTGGTAGGGTTAAATCACTTGATCAGTTTTAAAAGAAAAGCCAAGTTAAGACTAGCTTAAGTGGTGCATAATGCTGTGCAAGGAGTAAAAGATGCTCAAAAAACTTCTGTGGTGAAGAATTATTTTATGTCATAAGATGTGATTACAAAAAATAGACATTTAGAATACAAATTCATTTTAGGTAGGAACGATGCATATAACACTATCCTATACCTTTTACTATGTTATAAGAAACAGAAGTTAAAGTAAACCTAACAGCGTGGGAACAAAAACGATTAAAACTTTTATGTTTACTCCTAAATCATAACTTTTAACTACCAATGAAGAGTGTTCTTTATAGGCCTTCATATTGTTGCAAAGATTCAAACATCGCTTTCCATTAGAATGTTAATTGGCAGGTTAAAAAACTCTAAATAAAATAAATGTTTTTTCAGTCTTAGTATGAAAAGGAACATGTTAAAGTAACAATAATAAATACATGAATTATAGTTCTGAAATCCCAAACGGTTTACTATCATACTGTTGATATATGACACATTTTTTTTAATGAGTAAAAGTATTATTATAACCCAAGCTTTCTCAGTGTATGGAGCATACATTCCCGTTTTATATTTTTGTGTCATCCCAATACTCTGGTATTTTTTACTCAAACTCTTGACAAATCCCACACTGAACTAAATACAGCTTATGAAAAACACTCACAATTACTGAGGACAAACTAATCCTGAATTTGTAGGATATGCTTTTTAATTTCTGCTGTAGTAAGAGAGCATAATTATCAACATAGACAATCCTCTTGTTCAATAGTTGTAAAGAAGTGAAAGAAGTCTTAGGTTTCTTTTTCTTGATACTGCAGACATAATACTTTACATACCGTTGTTGTCTCAAATTATATTCACCTGCATTTGTATTGGGGTCTCCTGTAGTTTGGCTCGTTCCTTCAGTTCTGCCACTCTATCCTGCAGGATGTCCAACCTCTGCTCCCTCTTTTCCATTTCAGCCTTTAGTTTAAAGTGTAAGAAATTTTAATTAGGATCTCTATCGCCTTTCTGAACACTTCCCGTCTGTCATCACTATGCTGAAGGTTGCAGCTCCAACCTGAAATGTGGTGAGACAGGCGTCTGCCAAACCCTTATCACTGAGTCTGGCAACAGTGTCGGTGAGATCGGTGATGGACCCGGCCGTCCACTGGTTGATGTCCTGCTCCATGGCCTTCAGGTCATCCCAAAGTTTTACACAGTATCCCAGCCTCTCTGTATTTGTCTGAATTTTTTCTGAGACCTGAAAGAAACGCAAAGACGAGCTGTTTGACAGAAAGCAGAGCAGAATGCATCTCAATCAAGTTCAGAGGAAGGGTGTCCCTCCTTTGTTTTTTAGCCGCCTCTGTCTCTCCTTAACAAGGGATGGTGGGCTTTTCAGGGAGGTGGAGGAAAAATGAGGCATAATTAGTTTGACAGATGTGGGAGTGAGACGTGAGGGAGCGACGGAAAGGAAGATAACCTGTCTAGACATGTTTGTTGTTCTGTCTCATTTGTGACAGTTGAGGAGATAAATAAATCCTAAAGAATGGAAAAAAATATACATATAAAAAACACACATCCTGGAGATAAACACTGTAAAATGACCCTGGTTTGTGGCAGAGCTGGATTATAAATAACATCATTCCTTTTTTGAAAACAACAAAACAATTTACATTCTTTCATTCATTAAATTTCAGTGTAAGATCTGGTTGTTTATGGAAAAATGTTGATAATGATTTGTTGATTTGATGATTTCTGTAACAATCTAAAAAAAAAAAAAAACAAAAATAGTTTCTGATTAGTGTCAATAATGTAAATACTATCAGCTTCAGTTTTTTGCAAACAGTTCATTTATTAAAGAAGGAGCATAGCCTGAACTTTCCAGGCTCAACTCACCAGCAGCCACTGGTCCCTGAGAGCTTCTACCTCATTCAGGACAGAAAACATATCTGAGTTAGGAACCTTCTCCAGTTCTCTCTGAAGTTCCTCGACTGTGGAGATGAGCTGGTCCATGTCTTCTTGTTTTTCTCTCAAGTCAGCTTGGACAGCCTCATGCTGCATGGATAGACACCAGAGCACAGATATTAAATGATACCAAGCTGCCACTAGAGGGAGAGAATGTATGACACAAACTGCAGGGTGAGAGCTACTCCTTACAGTAGCATTATGAAAATATGCCCTTTTTCAGAAGCGACAAGTTACCATCCATCCTTTCACATGAGTAGACAAGGAGGTACTTACATTATTTTCTGCCATATTATTTAGGCTACTGCAGTGACACAAATTGACATGCTCTCCAGCCTTTTTATATAATCCGCCTCTGTCATCTTCATGGTAAATTATATAAAAAATAAACATTTATCAAATATGAGTTCCCATAAATACAACACCTAAATTCATGTTCTGCCAATATCATTTTTCCAATTTCTGCATTTGAAGACTATTATAACGCTGCAGGATTTTTTTTGCTTTTGCACGTGAAGTCCAAACAGAAAAACGTGCATAAAGAAACAGATAGAGACTCCGTTCCTCATGGATGCAGTCTTTTTTAATGAAAACAACACACAGAAAAAAAAACATTGATACCAGTGACTGGGGCTGTTTCCAAACATCAGCCCTAAACCCCAGATGCCCCAATCGCTTTATAGAGCAGGCATTATATAGGGAACCCACGTGATTGACCTTTTAGACAGATGATTGCAACTTTTCGCTCCCCATTGGTCACATAACTCAACCTCCCTGCACGACACCAGCACCATCTTTGTTATTAGTTGCCGCTCTCAGGTAGCGACAGCCTATGGCAACAGCGAGTCGCTGTGACAGTCAATCCCATGATGCTTTGCGAGGAGAGCTCTCCTCACAAAGCATTCTAGGATATATCTGCTTCTCTAGTGACCATGGATGATCCCTATTTTTCAAAGTGTGTTGTGGGAAATTTTGAGTCCACTACTTTTTCCTCCACTAGACATTCGGACACTTATTTAAAATGGCATAACCACTAAATAGTGCCCTACATAGTGGTTAGGGCAGACATTCGGACACAGCCTAGGTGTCTTGAAGTGTCCCAACTGACTGCGACACATTGAACTGAATAAGGGTAATTTGCAGTGGTTAAAGGATACTTTAAGTAACATTTTCTCTCACTGATCTAATATAGCCCTGTAAACATTTCTGTATCCCTGGAATCAGTATCTACAAATGTGGTTAAACATAACATAAACAAAGATTATTCATTGCACATTGTTTTCTACTAGAATAACAAAATTTACTGACCTGTGTGAAAACCCTTCTGGCATCCTGAGCACTGTGGTTGTGGTCAGGCAGATTATGAGCAACGGACAGAGCATTTTCCACAACTGCGTTGATGTTCGTCTTCAGATGGAGGAACAAGCGTAGAAGGTCGACCACAACTCCGCTCTGCTCCTGACTGCAAGAGAACAAAGAGCACAAATATAGGAGTACAGATTGAACAAAATAAAAAAAAGTATTTAATCTTAAATGGATAAGTTAATCATCACTGTTTTGAAGGGATACCTATTTGTTATCGTTGTGTTCAGGTTTTCCCAGGCTGCCTTCACCAGTGCCACCTCTCTTAGAGCTTCAGCTGCCAGCTCACTGTCTCGCTGAGCCAGCTGCTTCCCCTTCTCCTCCAACCATCGCTGGGAGTGCTGCAGGGACTGCAACTCATCCTCCAGCTGGACAAAGAAACGCAGCCTGGGAGAAACCGAACCAGAAAAAAAACAATGAGGATTACCCAATTCCAGCATCTCATTGTTTTAAGACATCACACTGAAATGAATTAATCCATCTGGCTGGAATCTGGCTTCAGCTTATTGGCTTCAGACGCTTAAGGATCATTTATCTATTCACTAGAGGGGTTTAAATCTTAACTCATCCTTGTTGTTCTATTTTATCTTTATTCTACCAATGAGCACTACTCATAAAGGCTGATAGCATCAGAACTGTTTTCTTTGTAGTTGTTTGGCTACCTGTTTTGAAAGGCTTGCACAGAGCACTCCCTTGCTTCCTCTCGTCTTGCATCGTCTTCCAGTTTCTTCAAATTCTTCATCACTTCTTCTTTTCTCTCTCTGAAAGAGCACCACAAAGACCCTAAAGCATCTGCTTCACTTTGCCTCCATCCGACAGCCTTCTGTATCTCATCCAGATACATCATGAGGCCGACTGCCAGTCCTCTGCAGGATGTTCTATCCTGAGGATCACTGCTGCTTTTGGATCCGCTTGATTCTATGCCACACAGGTGCAGGTGTGCCTTGCTTAGCAGCCCATCCAACCCAACTGCCTCTGCTTCAAGTCGGGCCACGTCTTTAGCGACTTGCAAAATCCTGCTGTGCAGAGCTTCAGCTTTAGAATGGTCCCAGCTTCCCCTTTCCTCTACTGCTGCATTAAGGTGGGACAGAGCCTTGGATGCCGCCTCACGCTTGGAAAGGAAAGTCTTTACTTTAGTCAGACATTCCTTACGGACGAGTAAAAGACGCTGGGACTCCTTGAAGGGCTGCAAACAGTCCTCTGTCCAGGCCTGGAGCTGCTGCTCAGCCTCTGGGGTGGAGTGGTGGAGCAGAGAGGAATTATTTTGATTCAGTATTTCGGTCAGTAATGTGATTTCCTGTAGCTGTGCCTCATGCTCCTGTAGCAGTTTGAAAAAAGTAGACATATTTATGTCACATTAAACATTTTTTGAAGACTAGATTATAGCTACTGTTCTTATAAAGTCACCTGCAATTAAAAAATAGAAATAACAGGTTTCATACCTTTAATTTAGTGACTGCAGCTTCAAGATCCGATATATGAACATAGGGAGAGCTTCTCAGGACAGAGAGGAAGTTCTCGCTTCTTTGTGCCACAGATAGAAGAGCCTGATCAAACTGCTCCAACTGATCTAAGTGCTCCTCCAGTACTTTACTCCTAAAGAGGAAGTAGACGATTTAGGTGTGAACAGAGATCTTATAAGCTAAAATGACCTAAAATACAAAGAAGTCAAAATTACCTGTATGATATACTCATGTTCACAGAGGCGAATCTCTCCTGAAGCTGACCAAGGTCATCATTCAGCTCCTGGGTTCGAGCTTCGTCTGCTGTTGGGTGCAGACACAGCTGGAGATTTCCAATACCGTGGAGGAGAGCCTCATAACATGCTGTCTCCTGCTGCATTTCCTGATCAGGCAGAACAAAACCAAGCTGGATTCAAACTCCAGCCACACCAGGCGACCAAAATGATAGAAGTGGACGTTGACTTTCAAATTTTACCCGGACGTTTTGGAGTTCATTCCTCAATTTTATTTTATCTGCAGAGAATGATTCGGTGTCTGGGAAGCACACAGATTCACATCTGTCCAGCCAGCTCTTCATGGATGCGTTCTCTTTTTCATATCTGGACGTAAAAATTGACATTACGTTATTTTGCATAACCCTACGAAAAACATCTCTTTAACAGACTTTTAAATCAATATATTTTTTGTTTGTCAGTTCTTTTCACCGTATATCTGTTCAGTGACATGGTGATAATTTATTTATACCTACAGTGGAGATAATAAGTGAGAAAAACAAAGACAGACACAAGAAGCAAAAATATGATTTAATATAAATAGATTTACTGACAAGCTGCTAAATTTCCACCACTAGGCTGGATCTTTTCTTTCTTTGTAAAAAAAAAAAATACAGTCACCCTGGTGCAAATCTATTCATTGTCAAACCAGTGACAAAAAAGAATATAATTAGAAGAGAAAAGCAATGCTGACAAGGAGACATAAAGAGAGTGTCGAAAACAAGATTCCGCTCTGCTACTTCACACTGAAATGAGAGAATTTTTCAGGGAATAACTAAGGAAATTGACAAGGAAATGAAAATTCAGCAGAAAAGACAAGCACAATAATAACAAGGGGAAATTGCGATGTTTATACAACAGTATAAAATGTGTGTGTATGTGTGTGTGAGCAGCGACTAAACAAAATGACAGAGAAACACTCTGGAAATGAAAGATGCAAATAAACGGAACTGCTTTGTATTAAAAAAAAAATTTCCAAGTATTGTTTTTAGAATGGACAGATCAATTAGCAATCTGAAATAAATTCACTAAACATGACTAAAAATAGACATTTTCCTACAGTACAGAATTAAAAGAATTACAATAACTTACATCTATTAAACAGGTTTATGATCTATTGGTGATTTGTGTCCATACCTTTGCCACAGAGCTAGAAGGCTCTCCAGTGTGGATTGCTTTTCTGCGGCCTCTCCAATTAACTGTTTCTGTTGCTTCTGGAGGTCAGCCACCTCTTCTTCCAGCTGGCTGCCCTCTCCAACCCTCTTTGTGGCTGAACACAGCGCCATCAGCCTGGGTTTCAGCTGCTCAACACCCTGGCAAACTTCCTGAAGTCGATAGAAATAGTGTAATGAACAATTTGAATCCTAAAAACAAACATTGTATTATGAATATTTTATGTAGGAGGTATCAGTTGTGATTTGTTTTCACCATGTGATCCTGGAGGATCTTGTAGGTCTCAGTTGACGATGTACAAATGACTGGACAGTCCAGTTTTTCTTTGATGTCGCTTATTGTTTTCTTTACCTGAAGCGGGGAAAAATATGTCAATAATATAGCTAAATTAGAACACCTTAAAACATGTTTTCTTGTTTTGTGATATTTTGCACCTGTTTGAGGTTATCATTGCATCTCTGCCTGTAGATGGTGCTCTGGTTGAGCTGTACACCAAGCTGCTCTATCTTCCCCATCAGTTCATCACAGCGTTGCCTTATCTGTACAAGTTGGACTCTGATATGACTGGCTGCTCCAGGGGTCACGAACTTGGACAGGGGCTCAATCTCAGTCTCCATCTGCACTAGAAGTGTCCTTCTCTCCTCCAATCCCTCGTGTATCGTCTAGAGAGATGAAGAACAGCAAAGTAATGATCAAAGAAAACACACATTAGAAACAAAATTAAACAGCTTTTCCCTCAGACAAATTTGTGAATTACTTTAGAACTGGATATACAAATTTTGTTTGTAAAGTCTGTCATGAGATTGACAGAACTGAGATCATATTTAATAATAAACATAATAATGAAGGAATATTCTAAATCTCTGCAGTTGTTGAGCCATTTATCTCTAAGAGTTATGTATAGATTTCATTCACTTAAAATTTGCTACATGCATGCATACTGTGCACCAGAGAAACAAAGAGATGAAAGTATGGCAGCATTGTGTTGAAATCCTGTTTCACCGCCAGCGGTTATTAAGGATTCTAGAAAGAATATCAAAGATAAAGGAACCAAATTATTTAACTCTACTTTAAAACAAATGGTTAAAACTACGACACAGTCGGGTTTTGAGGTTGAAGCTGTTCAAAAGCCTCAAACCTGATGATGGCATATGGCTAAAATGAACATCTAATCTCATTTAAATCAACCATTTTTTTTAAGAGTTGTCGAATATTAAATTCAGTTTCTTATCATTTTTCAAGTTAATTTGATTCCTTCCTATTTAATCCATTAAGACAATGCTGTAAAGTAATTGTGCTTACAGGTAAAACTTTTTTCTATGCAAACCCTGTTGATAAGATTACATCATTAAGCACTAATTTATTCTGAAAAAGCTTGTACAGTATCAACATTGAACAGGATATTTTCTCCAGTTGTTGTCCACGACAACTCATACAGTGTTAGGTTTCTGTTTTCTGTCATGTTTTTCTTTTGAGTATCCAGTTTTGCTTTTCTCCTTGTTTTCTAGTTTTTATGGTTTAATTTTTAGTTTATTGTGTTCTTTGTTTTTTTCTCAGTTACTGTCCTAGTCTTGGTTCTGTTATGTTTTCTTTTGAGTGTTTAGTTTTACTTTTCTCAATGTTTTATAGTCCTAGTGGTTTAATTATTATTTTGTGGTTATTTCCAGTCTTCAAGGTTTTTCATTTGTTGCTCTCTGCTGCCCTCTTTTGCTCTCCTTTTTCCCTAGCCCTTTTCTTCTCTTGCTCTGTGCACACCTGCTCCCAGTTTCCTCATTAGCCCTCTCTTTGTTTCTGTCTCCTATAGATACTCTTGTGTTTGAGTTCCTCTTTGCTGGGTCCTCGTCTAACCTCATCAGTCTCCCTCCTACTCGTCTCTCTGAGCCTTCCTCCTGATGGCTCCTAGGTTTTTGGTAACCTTTGACTTGTGTTTTCTTGTTTTCCTTAGATCTTTGAATTTTTGGACTCCTGGTTTCTCGTTTGTTTTTTGGACTTTGTTTTCATTTAGATTTTTGGATTCCTGTTGCCTGTGGTTATATACTTTGTTCCACTACCCTTCATTAAATCTACAAAAAATGTACCTCTGCCTGCCTGCCTCTGCTTTGGGTCAAAAATCCTAACCAAAACCTGACATACAGGAAGCATAATGCTGCCTAAAAATGCCAGGTTAGTTCTGTTTAACCTTTTAAGAGACAATTATCAAAAGTGCATAGGGAGTTTTCATATATTGGAGCCTGTGTGACCCCGAGTCAAATGGAGAAAACCAAACGCATCCCTTTTTTTCATCCTAATCCCCCCTGAAAAAAACTAAAACTTAATATTACAGCCATAATTATTCCATGAATGTGAATTTATGGCTTGTGAAAGGTTAAACGTAGAAGGAAAGAAAAACAAAGAATGAAAAAGTGATACCTCCACTGTGCTTATGTGAGCATCTAAAGGATCGTAGGAGGATGTGAAGCTAACTGCTTCTAGCTCCCTCTCTTTCTCGTTGATCCAATGAGAAAGGGTCTCTGATTCTCTGCTGAAGCTCTCCCATTGCTCCCACATCTTCTCAAGAAGGACCAAACTGAGAAAAAAGACACTTGGGTTATCAAAAGTGTTGTTAACAAACACACACACAAGCGTATAAGCCTGATTAGTGGGACATATGACGCGAGTCAAACAACTGCACTCACTGATCTACTCCATTCAATGATTCATATGACTTATGTTGGCCTAATTTTGTATTTTCCATCTGGATCTTTGTTGTCCCTGTTTCTCTAAACAAGTTATTTAAAGAAAAAAGGAAAAAAAAACATTCTGGAAAAAAAGCAGAGGCTTGGAAGCAGAGGACACAATGGGTACATACTTCTCTTTGAGGTCTTTTTGAAGCTGTGCAATCATTTCTCTGGAGGACTGAGCCTGCTGTAAAAGAAGACCCTGGTTCTTTGGCCCCAGCTGAATATCTTCTGACTTCTCCAACAGCATATCACTGCGGATGGAATACTCCTCAATGTCTATGAAAAGCTCCTGCAAACAATATTAACAGCAATGATGATGCTTAAAAGTACTGTTTTTTTTTAAACATAAGGATTTAGTATTTGTATAGAAGAGATTGTATTGAAAATAAAGAGGCATACCTTGAGGTGCTCCAGTTCACTCCTCAGACTCTCTAAGCTATTGAAAATCAGTTCTCTGTGTAGTTCATTGTTAGTGTCGGTAATAAACCTCCATATTTCTTCTCTTTCCATCTCAAAATTCTGCCAGCAGCTCAGGGTTGACTTAAGGTGAAGAAAAAAAAAAAAAAGATAATATAAGGTGATAAAAAATAAAAACTAGAATTAAATCAAATCTTCTACACAAAAATAATGCTTTTTTGAAAACAAGTTAAAATTGCTCCAACCAAAGATTCAGTTCAGCTTCTTTCCATGTGGTAATCAATGTCAGTAACCATGAAACATTCATGCTGAAAGATTTTAATTAGCAGTGAATAAAAACTCCCAATACGGAACACAAACAACAATTACAAGTCAGATGCGCACATGGCGGTCAATGTGTGTTTGACATTCAGCAGAAGAAAATCAATGACTGCAGCAGCGGTCTATGTGGATGATTCATTTTCACAGAGTCTTTTGATTTTCTGTTTACTGCTGGAATAGGGAGTAATATAGTACCAGTAAATATGTTTACCAGCAGCAAATAAATCCCATCGAAATGGTGACTCAGAGAACAACAATCTAAGTTTATTAAGACATTACATTTCTCCATACAGGTGCAGGGGAAACAAAAAAGAATGATCAGAAATTATCGAAAGCTTTCAGTGAGGCAGCAGATTCCCTGCCTTTATTTATTCTTAAGCTCAAAAATTATGTTTTCTCTTTATATTTGTCTGTTTTCAGTCATTTCTGGACAATTCAAAACAATTAGTAAACAACATACAACATTACTCTCAACCAGTCAGACAAACAGTCACAGCGCTGTTTACCTGCAGGGTGTGCTCTGTTGTTCCAGTTTTGTGGTCTACGTCGCCGAAAGCTCCCTCCAGTTCCCGTAGAGGCTGACTCAGTACCTCACCTGTCTGCAGCTGGCGGCAGTGGGTCACCAGCTGCTCCGCCTCCTTTCTGTTAGCATGCAGCCTTTTCAGGTGTTGCTTTAAGAATCACAAACATGAGAGCAGTACATTAAATGGGATATTTTCCATAGTTTAGACAACTGACAGTTATGCAGACTCACCTGGTGAATGAGGTAAAGTTGTTTGGCCTCTTCCAGGTTCTCTGCGTTCAGAATCCTGCTGATCTGCTCCTCAGCCTCCCTTTGTGCCCTCAGAGCCTCCTTCAAAGCACCATGCACCTCATCCCTCAGCTCCTCATATTGGAACATGGCAGAGCCTTCTCCCAGCTGTGGCAAAGGATTAAAAAAAAACATCAGAAAATGCTTAAATAAATACTCCTAAGTGAAAAGTTTAATCCTTAGAGTAACTGAATATACCTGACAGAGTGAAGATAAGAGGCCACGCAGCTCGGTTGAAAGTTTGGCGAGGGCTGCTCTCTGTCTCTGGACTTCCAGCTCAGAGCTAATCTCTGACAGCCTGGCGAGGCGAGTTTTTAACCATGATAGGCTCTCCTCACGGGTCATCAAGGCTTCCTGCAGAGTCTGGAAATGGTTCAAGCATAAGGTGTGATTTTAAATCTAATCTGTGAGCCTTTAACAGTAAACAGGTTTCCTTTACTCACCCGGACAGCAGCATCAATTTGATCCTGGTGATGGGACGTTACTGCTGACTCTCTTAAAAGTCTCACCTGCCCTCTTTGGGATGACAGCCAGTCAGAAAGTTCACAGAACCTAAAATGCAAAAATATAAACCATCACCAGCACCTCTTATGTACAACCTGTAAGGAACTCAGGAATGTCTCACTGATTTTGCATACCTGTCGTTCCACTCTTTCCATTTATCAGGGTGTTGCTCCAGCTTTAGGTGGGTGATCTTTATTTGTTCAGTAACTTCTTCTACAGCCTTTTTTGTAGAATCCAGCATTCGATACACCGGGTCGTTGTCAGGTAGATTATGACACAGATCCTCCATGTTTCTGATTCTTTTCTCGCACAAAGTCAGAGGTTTACGTTCCTTGAAAAAGGCCTGGAGATGAAACAAGAGGAAACTGTATTTAGGTTTTTGGAGCTCTTTCTGTCAGTTTAATCTGTGCTCTAAGTTTCCACAAACTCCAGGGCTTACCCTGTGCTCTTTGATCACTCGCTCACTGGTGCAGGTGCCTGACAGGGCCTGTATCTCTCTTTCCAGCTCTGCTCTGCAGTCTTGAAGAATCAAGGCCACTCGACTTCTCTCCACATCCACTTTTAGTCTAAGCAGGTGAGAGGGAACCTCTGTTTGAAGATCCTGATAAAAACACAATCACATCCAGGTTAAAACTACAATAGCTTAGGATAATATTTCCTCTGTCAGTGACAAACTGTACCCACAGGCATCAACTCAGAGATGTGTTCATTTTAATCTAGCTGGCACTTTCTAATTGGAAACAGCCAAAGGGGAACTTTATGAAAACCAAAGGCCTCCTTTGTTAAGTTAATGATGTATTGGCTATGCACCTCAGGAGATGTAAAGTGATTAGTTACAGTGTTAATGCATGGTGACCCCTGACCTTCCAGTGCTTGTGCAGCCTGCGGACAGTTCCCTGCAGAGCCTGCTGCTCCTCTTGAGGTAGGATGTCTGTTAGCTCATCGCAGGCTTTCAAGAACACACTGAGCACCCGCTGGTCCAGTTGGCCAAAGAAATCCTGCAACAAAATGAGACATCAGTTAATAAAAGCTGAGGAGATGAAAAGATGCAAGAAGATATCTCAAGAGATAAAGTCTGATACTTTTCTTGTTCTGCCTAGTTTGTTGTCTGATTTAACTACTCCATATGTATACTTTGTAGTCTAATACCCACTTTTTTTTTATATAGACCAATAAAGTAAATATTTAATGTGAAATTTAACTTAATTTTGACTGTTCTCTCTGACTCTTACTGTGAAACCCCTTATCCCAATACATTTATTTTGTAAGCTGGGTGGAAACTTCTTTGGTGATATAACTCTACAAAAGTACTTAATATTTGGAAAATTCCAAAACCTTTTTTTAAACCGATCTGGAAGTTGAGTTGTTTCATTGTTGGTTATTCTTATTGGTCTATTCTCCTCTTTAAAGGGTAAAACTCATATTCTATAAAGCTTAGGTACAGTAAGTAATGTTTTAAAAGCTGTTTTAAATCTTCTCTTCTTAGGAGCAGGCTAAGTGCATGCAGAGGTTTAGCTGCCTTGGTGATTTCGACCTTTTCTATAAGGTAGAGGGCAACACCTGAGTTTTCCACAAGAAATATCTCAGTTTATGAATGAATGAATGAATGAATGAAAAGCGTCATTTAAGACAACCCAGTAAAAATAATACAAACTCAATACATGCAGACAACCTATACAATAAAGACATATTTTTGTGTTATGTCTGCTGTAGTGCCTATGTCTTAAAAAGGAGTAAAAGTAAAAGTAAAACCTCCTCCTTTGCACCAACAGTTTTCACAATTCCTATTTAACTTATGAGTTGTAAATGGTAAATATATTTCTTATTTAATACTCTGTCTTTGCACTCACACTGGTGACTTTAAGTGTAATTGTACTGCATATAATTACAATAATGGCATTCTAATTCTGATCTGAGAGGTCCATTAATTGAGCAATTGAATTAGTTTGTCTACATATAAACAGATTCACACGTCTCCATTAGACAATTTTAAAACTACAGTAAATCCCAAATGCCCACAACCTTTGCAAAATATACCATCACTAAAAGTACCCATTGATGAACA